TACCCTTATGTTTTGGTTATATGTCACTTTCTTTCCCATGCTTGATAGCATGGCATCAGAAAACAAAACTGGGAAAATCTACTGATGTTACTTTATTTCATTCACTCTCTATGCTGAGAGGTTATTTTTACATATTTTGGCATTTCTAAATATTTGGAGCTATTATTAAAACTGTTTAACTGTCAAAAACTTAAGAAGCTGTGAAGCCTGGAAATGACAAAATTAACTAGTAATAAAACTTCTGACATGTAGCCTAAAGAATTAATTGGAGAGTTGCTATCACACGGCTTTTAAAAATAGAAATATTCTACCCACAAGAATATTCAGAAATATAGTTGACAAGATCTGAAACTTATTTGATTGGATCATAATTTCATCACTTAGGTTGTTTTTGCATTTTTAGGCCATTTTTCCTAGGGCTTTGTGCAATTATAGTGGATATTATATATGCTTTCTTCTCACAGATCTTCTTTGGAAGCCACTTTGATGTTAATCAGTTAAGTCTCTTTGAGACAAGGCTGAACATTTGGAGGAAAAAAATGTTTTGACTTTTTAAATAGCTGTAATAGTAAAACTTGGAGGAAATAAATTTCTGTGTAGAAAGGACGTACGTTCTGTTACTTTGGAAAATTGTACCGACTCTTCCAGCTAATACCGAATTATCAATATCTGTGCATGTGGGTTTTTGGATGATCCAGTGTCATCTGCCAAGCCTCTCTAAGCCTCGCTTTTAGGGAGAGCCAACGTTGCTTTAACTCTTTCCAAGAAGCACTAGGGAAAACTGTTAAAAGACCAGCTAATAAGGGGATAAAAGAGGAGGTTGGTGTGTGCCTGTCTTTCTCGTACGCACAGAGTGCAGCAGTCTAGCGCAAGATTTGATGGTTACGTTCATGCAAAGGCACGTCAGCCTGCTTTGCTACATAATACATGGACTCTTACTTCCATGGTTCACTTGATTACAACAAGAGCTGGACAGCATTGTGTGAGAGTATGTAGATCACCTGACCACACTGTTGCCTCTCATTTAGGTATTAAGCCACTGTTATTTCTGAGGTTTAAGTTTATAGGTAACCTGGAGGTCTTGTGAGAGGTGCTGTGGTTTTCCTGACCTAGCAGGCTGTGTGGCATGGTGAGCCTCCAGAGTCCTTTGAGCAGCATAGACCCTCGACCTTAGGGCCAAACGTAGTCTAAATTAAGCCTAGATCTCTTAGGGATGCTTCAGGTTTACGTTCTGAAAGATGGAGAGAAGTTATTTTCCCTGGTTGTTGCAGGCAGGATATGATGCTTGAAGGCTGTTGTTTTGTTCTCCCCTCCCCCTGAGATAAAGGTTTCATGAATTTGTAACTATTTGACAAAAAGATTTTTGGTTTCTAGCTTTCCTAGTTCTTTTTACTCCCTGTTACTCATAGGATATGTTTTCTCCTGTTTAAGTGAAAACTAATTTTGGTGTCTTGTTTTACTACCTTTCACTGCAATAAAACTTTAATAAATCTGTGTGCAAACTTAAACCTAGCTTCCTAATTTTTGCATGTTAACAGTGCAGTGTATATATCTTCTCGTGCACGTTATTAAATTCACCATACAAATTTCTCACTCAGTGTTACTAACTTTCCTCTTTCTTTATTGTTGCAACAGTGTCTCCTCTATTTGGCATTGGAAAATAAACATTAAGTGAAGAGTTATCTTTAAAATTCATCTTTTAAAATGTCAATTATTTAAATTTAGTACAATTGAAAAGTATCCTTATTTTAATAAATAGTTAACATTAAGGAAAAGGAGGAAAAGGATTAAAGTACACAAATTCCACTTTTCACAACATTGTATCATCTCTCACATGTAAATTCCTTCCTCCTAGGAAGAACAAAGTATGTTAGCAATGGAAGAGGAAGGGACTGTTCAGTTACCACTAGAAGGACATTACAGGTAAAATATACCTTTCCTCTTTTAGGTGAGTTGCAATTAAACAAATTAAATAATCATGCCACAGTATTTATTCTTAATGCTCACTGAATGTCAGGAGGATGTTTTTGGTAGCAGAGTAGGTGAACTAAAATAGACAGTGGAGTCTTTCATGACCCCTTTCTAGTCTTTCCACGTGATCCTGCAGTCTCTAAGAAAAGCATACTCTAGTTAGAAATTTTCCCTTGGATAGGCGTGAAGGATCAGGCCGTTAACAGTGAGCCTTACTTCTGACATGCGCAGTGCAAAGGGAAGATGTACAGCAGGTCAATCCTTTCACCCTGACTCTGGCAGGGAGCCAAGGGACCCCAAGAACACACCCTAAAAAAATTACATCCTTACAGTAATACATTTTGAAATATTCTAATTAAGATTCTAGCTGTATGATATAGTAAGTGAATAAATAACGATTCAGTACAGATAATAAATGGATGATTAAAAAAAAGCATGACAACCTGTGTTATAGGTACTAACAACGCATGACCATAAAGATTTATTCTCATCTACACAGTTTTCAGAAATAAAGTTTCTTAATAAAGATTTGGACTATCTGCTGATAACTTCTGCATTAACATGAGTTCATAGGGACACAGTTTTAGAGTAGCCTTTTCTTATAATTTAATATAAAGTTAACCTAGCGTATCCTAAGTCAAACAGGTATACTGTTTTATCTTCTGTGTGTTTGAAAATCTTACTTTCAGTACATCACATTTCTGATGTTCTTTTTTTGTTCTTTTGTCCTTTCATTCTATTAACAAATATCCTTTTACTGTATTTTATATTAGCAGTACTTAGCTTAATTTATTTCGAGGTGTGACCTATATTTATCTATAGTGTGTTTACTTATGTAGCCCTAAGCTGCCTGAATAATATGTAACCTTTTCTACTTTAAGGGTCACAGGCCTACAGATAAAAAGAGGAATTAAGACAATGATTGATAAAGTGATTGCCCAAAAAACTGTATAACCAAGTTTACTGAGTGTACAAACATATACTCAGAGCGGTCCAGATAAAGCTAAGGGTGTAAACCCTGCTTACAAAGGGCTGCTTAAAGTTACTGATTTGTTTAATTGGGACATTAAACATTTTTTTAATCACTTAAATCTTTACCTTTCTTGAGGATTTTGACTGCTTTTAAAATGATTTTAAAAGCAGCTGATGTTTGAGAGCATATGCAGTTTGAGAGCTGTTAGGACTGAGACCTTGGGCAAATTACTTAACTTCACGGTTCCTCATGTTTCTTCATCTATAAGTTGGAAGTGACACTTGATATATTTTATTGATGTTACAGGAATTATATTGCTGTTGGAGAGGAAAATATGAAAAAAGTGCTAAAATGCATTAAGAGAGTATTTAAGTCCATTGTTCACGATTCTTGAATTTTAACGTAATTTCTTGACTTATGTTGCACTTGTTTATCATCATCATTATCAGTTTTCAGGGACTTTTGTAGAGTTAATAAGTAACAAAGACAAATTGTTCATTATTTAATTATGCATTTACTTTTACTCTTGCCTAGAGATGACCCATCTGTGATAAACATTTCTGATGAAATGGCAAAAACTGCTGTGTGGAAGACATTGCTGATATCCTCAGAGAATGCAAAAGATAAGGAGTCAAGCTTTCCTTCTAAAAGGTTTTAAATTTTTTACTACAGTATACTTTATATACTGGTGTCAAGCAAAATATTAGAGTATTTTACTAGGAAATAGATTTCTAGCACCTTGCAATTTGAAATCTTGAGAATTCCTGTTACTTATGTCCAATTAAAATATTTTGAGCTCAAAACACAAACTCACTATATATGTTAAAATAGTACAAATATTTGCATGCCACTTAGTTACACTGTAGTGGAAAATGAAGTTGAGTATGCTTGATGCTTGTGTAATGAACCACCAGCCTACACTTGGATATTGCACAACAGGTGTTGTGTTTTGCTTGCTTGTTTGCTCTTTCCTCTTAAAAAAGAAGTGGTCATCGCTGAAATATCTACATGAAGAGCCTACTGCTCTTAATGCGATCTACTAACATTTGCCTTAAAAAAAAAAAAAAAAAAAGATTCCAAGATTGCATCACTTCTGGTCATATTTCTATCACTTGTACTCAAAACACTTGAACGCCCTTTAAAGTTTAGTCTAGATAAATGTAAAATGAAGCCAGGATGTTTTCTCTGTGCTAGACAATTATTATGGGAGTAAGGATATATTAAATACAAGCACAGTGGTATTGTAAGAGAGATTTTCCTCTGTTTCCACAAATTTTAAATTTAACAGTATTTTCTACTTAATTGTTTCATGTCACATTTTTGTCATAAGCTCCCCTTCCTAATCACTCTAGAAGCTGATTCCCCAAAGGTAAGACCCTGTCCCTCAACCTTCTCCTTGATTGTATCTTCCTATTCTAAGTGGTGTCATCTAGGAACCCAAATGACTTTACTGTGTGTAACTTTTGGGGAGACAGAATGAAAAGAAACCTCAAACAGGAAGGTAAAAATGTCTTCATCAAAGTCCTTAATATGATAATTTGAAATATATTATGTATTAACATTAGAAACAGTAGGCAAGTACATTTAAGAGCTAAACTGAATTTATTCCTAGCATTTTTTTTCAGTAGTTGTGTAGTTTTTTTAAACGTAAAGTGACAATCTGCCTATTTCTAAATCTAGTGTTCAAAACAGGCTTGATGTTTGAAACATCTAGTCATTGTTTTTTGGGGAAAAGATGCTGTAAGGGGGAAAAAAAAAAGTCATTTTTTTTTTTTTTTAATTTTGTCACCCCAAAATGGCATGCTGCCTTTCAGTGTCGTTCCTTTGCCTAAACAGCATAAACAAGATGACAATTAATGACTAGAGAATCTTCATTTCAAAGACCCATGAAGTAGTTCACTAATGTGGTCATTTTAGTGCTGTTTTACTGTCAGTCAAAACAGCAGTGCAGTTCTGTTTTGTCTTCCACTGTACGCATGGGCTGAAAAGGATCCAGCCACAGTGAAGTTAGCCTGGTGCATGGGAGAGGGACGTACAGTAGTTTTTTCGTATGCGGGTATAGTGTCCAGGCTGTGAAAGCCTTGAGAACGAGAAGAAACTTTTGTGATACATTCACAGCCAAGTGATATGCAGTAGTTGCCATTTTTCTAGCGGATACTGCTTCTTTGAGGGTATGAGATGGATTACGTGTGTGCGTACGTGTATACGCGTATGTGTTTATATATAATTTTTTTTCCCTAAATTTTCAAAGAAAGGATCATCCACATAGATTGTGGCACAGAAAACATTGGTAAAAGATAATTTGACCGTTACACTGCAGTAAAATAGAAGCTCATATTTTAATGAGTTCCTTCATTTGAACCTAGGTTCTGTTCTGGCGTATTTGCTCATGAAAGCAAGGACTCAGGTCAAAAGGAACTAAAGGATCACAGTCTAGAAACATCCTGTTGTAAATTAACAACTCCTAAAGAGTCGGAAGTCCTGCTTTTTCATGTGCCCTAGCTTGTCTCATATTCCAAGACAGAAGTAGTTTCAAAAAACTTTAAATTCAGAGAGCTCGCTGGGGACAACATTAATCTTAAATGATATTAGAGACAGAGCTAAAGAAACATTATGTTCCTAAATGCATGTGCTGTTCCGTGAAGGTATAATTTGGTCCTAGGTTAGTACTGAAAATAAATAAATGCTTGGATTGGTGCCAGTTGTAAGAATAATTTGTGTAAATGATCAAGACCACCAATATTATATTATACAACTTGCTTCAGGGAAGGGATCTTACCGTAGGGGAAAAAAATTGTTTTTTTATTCTGAAATTAATTTTACTGATGCCTTTTGAACTAGAGAAGCATTTAGTAATTATTTTTCCTTTAGTCAGGTCTATTTTCCTATACTAATATCCCCAAATAATATAAGAAATATTATACTAAATATTATTTTTGTATTTAATAGCATATAGTTTACATTTAATATTCACTTATATTATTATTTATATAAAATTAATTATGTTAATATCCAATATTAAATAATAGTTAATAAAATTTGAACAACTTATGATGCTGTACTTTGATTTCATATAATGCCTTTTACAAAAGGCATGATAAATTAACAACCTAGAATGATTTCTGAAATACATGAACTCTGGAAGTTTTTCGTACTAATGCAATACTGAGTTGACTTATGCAAAGAAAGACAGGCCAATAATAAACTAGATCTCCAAAGAGAGATTTTAGGCAGGAAAGAGTTATATAAATGAGCCTGTTCAGTGGATAGTATCTATAATAACTCTGTCCCATCTCTGGTGCTGTGAGGTGGCATAGTTTGTGATAACTCTTACATCACAGACTCTTAACAGTATTTAAGTGTCTAAAGAAGGAACTTTGCTGCTGCTGCCTAACCACAGAAGCACTTAAACTCTACAGTAGCTTAATTTTTCATTATTAAAGTTTCTAGGGACCTAAACCTCTGCTTTGGTTTATAACCTGTCTTGTTTTGGAATTGAACACCTGGATGCCTAGCATAGCTCTCTTTGGTGCATTAAAATTAATTATTAATTAAAAATTATTATTAAATTACTATTAAATTATTAAAATTATTATTAATTAAAAATTAAATATTTTTCTGATTTTGCATATTAATATTGTTAAGTCCTTTGGGTAGCAATCTGAAAGCACGTGTAGAAGATCTGGCCCTGAATAAAAAGGTCATAGCTGCCCTTTTAAAGTATTGGAGAAAGAAGCACCTATAACTTTGTAAGTGGCATAAGTTCCCTTCTTTACGTGAAAACATGTAAGTCCCACATCGCAAACCTTCCTTCTCAGGCTCGTCAGCATACTGCTGTGGTAGGGAGGAAGAGGGCTGTCCTGTCCCTGACAGAGCCATCAGTTCCATGGTTTGCTGATAGAACACCAGAGCTGTCCTTTTTCAAAATTCCCAAGGCATTAATGCCTGTATCTACAGGAGATGCTCAGAGATGTGACGCCTAAATAGAAGGAAGACTCTCCTGGTATCACTGAGGCACCTAATACCTGGAAATAATATAGGCTTCAAAGCATGCACGTTATTCTCAGTGTTTGCTTTTATTAAGCACAGGTAACTGCCTGCTGTATTGCTTTTTTGTGGAATCTATTACTAAGAGCCTCTACTTGCCTCTGTGTGCTTAAATTAACTCTATGAATTCAGTTAGGGCAGCACAGAGCTTTAGATGTATTCATCTAGACTTAAAAGCTTAATCCACGAAGACGTGCCCTGTAGAAAACACAATCTGTTTATATCTTTTCTTCTGGTGAATTTATTAATGATGGAAATCATTCTGTTGACCATCAGAAAGATGTATCCCGTGTATTCCTTTGTAGCTGGGATTTGTGCTATAGGAAGTCAAGGTAAAAATTTACAAAACCGGGAGTACTTTTGGTCTAATGCATAGAGCATATATGTGAAAAGTGTGCAGAGTGTGAAGAAATGTAACTGTCTTTTCAAAACACATGTGCAGTTCCTGAGCGATAACGCACTTTAAATCCACTCTCAGGAATTTGTTTGCATACCCTTTGTATGCAGAAAGTTTAACATACCAATTCTGAAGGTGACAGATTTGGCAGTTGAAGTGGCAGGATTTGGTATTCTTTAGCTATTTCCATTAACACCTCTGGAGGCTGCCATAGGCATAGAAATAAGCTCTGACTGAACTGAATTCTAGCCTTAAAGCATTTTTTACATGAAGAAATCTATCAGATGATTGTAAAATTGTGCATGAATCGTATTAAGAATTTGAGAATTGATCTTGATTTCTTTAAGCATTGTGTAACTCAGCCTATTTCTCATTCATTCTAGTTAAGGAATTATTCCCATGAAACCTGGTAGGTTATGTGCTTGATACAGATTTGTTCTCAGAACATCTCTTTTAAGATGACACCCTTGTCACTCTTTGTTGAAGGCTTGATTCGCCTGTGTTTTGGAAGCCTCTTTGCATTTCAATAGTGTGATTAAAACTCATTGCAACAACATAACTTTTTTTTTTGTATTTAAGCTGTTATAAATTAGGACCCTCGTCACAAACAAAAATAATCTGCTTTGCACATTTTTTTTTTTTAGGCAAAACAACAGTGTTTGAATTGGGGAAAAAAAAAGCTGAATCCAAATTTGAACTCTGCTTCATATTTCTTAGTGATATTGCCTAGTAAACCTGCCTTGTAAACCTTTTCTTTAAAAAAAAAAAAAAAAAAAAGTTGTTCCTGATATCATGTATACTAGCGCAAGTATATATTAAACTGACCTCCAGGTGGGCAATATTGTCATTCCCCCTTTCCTGCCGCCTTCTGCTCTCCCCAATAAACTGAAAGCCAAACATGACAGTTTTAAATGGGCTTCCACTGCTGTCTCTTCAGATAGATTTCTTGTGAATCTATATTGAGCAAAAGAATACATGTTAAAGCAAAGAAATACTTACTGTAACTTGTAACTTCTTGTTTGTGCCATTTAAGAAAATGCTGATACTGCCTGAAAAACCATACCATTACCATTGTTTAATGATTTAACAGTTGCATTTGCAAAAAAAAAAAAAAAAGCTATCTCTGCTTGCATGCTGTCTGTCTGTACATCTTAAGTTCTCCACCAACCTCATCACTAAAATGCTGGCTGATGTCTTCTGCACCATTCAACACAGCAACTTGCTTCCCAGTTTGTGCTATGCAGCATGAAAAATTAATTAAAATATCAGTGCAGTGTTGATTTTCAGGTAAAGCATTAATGTAATATGATAGTGCTCCTGTAACTTTTTTTTTTTTTGCTTCTTTTCCTAGTGTTGAAATCCGAAGAGAGAAGAAAGCTGACTCAGGAAAAGGTGTTGACCGGGAGACTTGTCTATGACTCACTCTTCAATTAATTTTTTACAAATGAATGAAAGGAGTGCCACAATCGTTAAATATGACTGATGTGCTCTTGTAACCTTTTGTCTGTCATCCCAGACTAGCACAGGTAATGTAGTGCAATATTTGTCTCATTTCATTGTGTCTAAATGTCTACATTGTCTAGTATCCGTGCAAAAATCTACTGTAGTCAATGCAAAAAATCTTCACTTTCTTTGCTGGTGTTGGCCATTCATCAGTACCTGTGTCACATATTTAACAAGCAACGTTTCTTTCAGATTCAACTTACTTGTTAATAGGTTTGTACTGTATTTTGCTACTTTTTCTGTGTGAGAATCCTTAATAATTTTCATTCAATATGAACTTGAAACACTTGTTCCATTTTTTTTTAATCTCTTAAGTAAATGTTTTTAAGAGACCGAAATTAACAAGTAAATATTAAAGATGTTTTTAAAGTGAAAACTGATCTGACCCTATGAATGCTAAGAGGATAACCCTTTCCTCCTCAAGCTATCCTTTTGAAGTCATGGATTACTCTTGCAATGGGGATTGCAGGGTCAGATTCTTTCTGTACTTGTGCAGTTTTCCTTGATTTAATACAGTATATTTAATATTCAAATTTGTATGTAACGGGAACATAGTCTATATATACATATATATATATATATATATATATAAAAACATAAATTAAAACACATTCTCTCACATTATTTGAAAAAAACCACCACATCCTTTGATGTGAAACTTTGGTATGGTATTTGTTAAAACGCAATCTGTGGTTACAATATCTTATCATCTTGTACTGTACGAACATTTCCTTGGTAAGCCAAACTACTTTATTATGTCATTAATGAATCCATTATTTTATAATAGGAGGACTTTTGTAAATATAAACTGTATGCCACAAGCAGTTATATTACTTGCCCAATAATTTTCCTCTCTATTGCCTAAAGTACAGCCACATAAATGGCATATTTATATTGTCCTTTCTCTCTCTCGCTCTCCTAATAACTGTAAACCTCTGTACTCCAGACGTCATTGTGTATAATACTTAAACAGGTATCCTATTGTTATTTTTGTTACAGCTCTTTTCACTTTTCCATCAAGTACATATTGATTGAAAGATTAAAAACAACATTGCAAAGATGTGGCTTTAAAACCATTGCAAAGAATTTTTTTCATAACATATTTTGTTATGGCATGATCCTTCAAGATGTTTTCTTTGTGTAAAACAAATAATGCAAGATTAAGTATTCAATTACTAGAGCAAAAGTTTTATGGATTATTTGAAATTCACTAATTTTTAAATTTTTTTAAGACAAATTTTTAAAGACTAAATGAAGGCTAACTCTCATCATTGTGTTTTTTTGCTTTGCATCCGAGGAATGAGAGTCTACAGTCTTGTAATCTTTATAAACTCATTTACAGGGCTTTAACAGCCCCTAGCTTTCCAAACCACAATAACCTTTCCATTCACCTCATGTGAATACCTTTTCATATCCAGCACATTTAAAATACTCCTTCCAACGTTTGTTTGTGTGTGTGTGTGTGTGTGTGCACATGCGTGTGTGTGTGTGTGTGTGTGTGTGTTTTACTACTTCTTTAGCCATAAACAACAACTGCATTTTGCTGCAAACTAATAGGGTCACTGTTCTAAATTCTACGTAGTATTATCAAAGCCCATCAAAGGTCATTTTTATGGGGGGGAGGGGGGGCAGGAATCTAATGCACACAAAGAAGGATTTACATATAATTAAATGTTTCTATTTATAAATTTAGGAAAAAATGCTGCTGCATTAAGGTTAAATGCTTTGTTTTGTGTATTTGATGCTAAATTGTATGATTCCAGTTGTTTTAAGGCTAGTATAGAAGTTCAATACTGGTTTGTCCTGAAAGCAGCCTGGTGGTGTTTTAATATATTGCTGACTTTGTTACACATAATGTATACAATCAAAGTGTATTAGTTTCACTTGACCAACTCTTAGAATATTAAGAAATCAGTGTATTTAATGGCATTTCTGTATTTCTGTTCAGTATTTCAGAGTGGGTTTTTTTTTTTTTACAGTCACTCTGTTCTTGTGTGAATTTTAATGATGTTCCAATGTTAATCTCAACATTCTGCACTCACACACAATATACAGCAAATTTAGTGTTATATTTACTTCTAATTTCATATTCCTGGTCAAAATTACTCAATTTCTTGGATGTAATTTATTACAAAAGTTTATGTGTACATGTGAATAGAGTATTGTGTTTTTCACAATTAAGAAATGTTATGTGAAAAATAAATATTTATCTATCTTAACTAACTTTCAATTTCTATTTTTACATTGCAAGAAAGACCCAGAACAAATATGCAGTACTTGGTACAGTGTTTTAAATGTCACTTGTCACTTGAAAATACATCACAAGTTAATGAATAGTATAGCTCAGTCGTGCAAGCTGCTCCATTCCTGAGTGGAATCGCACTAAAGTATGCCATCGTCTCTCTGTATGGGCAAGTGGTGTGTAGCTGTTAGCCATGTACTTGATGTGACTCTTCACAGTAAGTACGCAGTTGAGGATAGCCCATAACCGACCTGTGTCAGAAAGAGCTTGGGAATCCCTTTCTGAGTCATGAGTTGATTCCCCTTCTTGCTTTTGGGAGAGATGATGTGGACCAGGCAGGCGTAGCTAAGGCTTTTTAAAGCTCAATAGGTAAGTAAGTTCTTACAATTTTTAAAATTCCTAAATGCTATAATAGTTAAAGTGTTTAATAGTTAATTGAACACCTGCTCAGCTACTGGCTAATTCTAGGAGCTTCTACTATTCTCCTAGAGCCTAGCAGAAACCCAAAACACTGATGAACTCCACCATATTAAGCCCCTCAGCTTTGTCACCTAGTTTTGGCCCAGAGGCTGGAATCTAAGCCTTCCAGCCTCAGAACTTTAACTAACTGTCAGACTCTGGCTTTAGCTCTTTCTGTTAGTATTTTACACAAAGCGTACTGTACAAACAACTTTTGTTTATCCATTTGACGCAGGGAACAAAAAAACCCAAAAAAGTAAGTATTAAGAGCCTCACTGTAGCATGTGGCAGTATTTCAGCTGCAATTGTTTCCTAGTGACAGCTTTGTATGTTAATGAAATGAGTTGGTGTTCTTCTGTGGCGTCATGTTCAGGTATCTTGCAGTCACTGTGCATTTTGAGGAAGGTGTCGCTCCTAACTCAGGGCTGGCTATTCCCTGAGACAGCTCTATTGTCTTACTGTGAACATTATTCTCTGGAGCCTACAGGAGACCTATAAGAGAGAGAATGCTAAAGCACCTTAAAAAAAAAAAAAAAAAAAAAAAAAAAGGGTGGCTTCATACCCTACCAGCAGCCTATTATAGTAGTTGCTTTCCAGATAAATTTAAAAGTAAATGTAAATGTAAATTAAATGCAAAACCTAACGTGGCTTTGCGTACACAGGCCAACCGCGGTCATAATGATTTTTTTTCTTTTCCCCCCCTTTATAGCCTGCCTGCATTGTTGTGGCGCAGCTTTATTCTGATTCATGTTTCTTCCTGTTGTGCCAAAAGACTCATTCCCTGTGAGCTTACATTAGGGAGCTAGATACTTTCACCTCTCAGAACAAACAGATAGCCTGTAGTCTATAGCACTCATACAGTGATGCCAGTCTGCATTAGAACCACTAGTAAATTAAACCTAAGGCTGTATTTGTAATCTTCATCTCCTCTTTGTTTTCTGAAAAGTTTAGTGTGTGAGTCAAGAAGGTTTGCAATTAATTGTTTATGAAACCCAAAACTTTACCTTCCACTTCAGCTCCTCCCCGCCTTTCATGTAAGGACAAACCTTTTTCCTCTGCTCCTCCATGCTTTATCTGGCTGTATGATGTACTTTTCTAGTCATACCTAACGTCACTAGTAACCCACAATATACATCTGCAATCAATCACATGCTGACATCGTGTATCACGAAGCTAAGCGTTAGATAATCATGTCACACTCCAGTACATGGTAACACTAAACAAACAGCTTTATGTAAAGCAGAAATTTACTCTAAGTCTCTTAAAATTAATTAATTTTATTTATTTTAAAAAAATTATAGGAGTTGGTTAATTTCTGGAGCAGGCTTTTCAATTATATAGACTACACATCCTTTCATAACTTAATGTCTTTATTATTTTAAAGCAGCAAAGTTTGTAGTACAAGTGGTTTGCAGCTTTTCTATCTATGTGAAATTTAGGAAAACATAAGTCTTATCTTCAGATTGAAAAGCCTACCTGGAGTGCTGAGAATGGAGCTGGTTTACTGGTAGGCTGCAAGGAAAAAGCAGGTTTGCTAAATAGCACATTCTTATGAGAGTTACAGTCTAGCCTGTGCTTTAACTGCTAGTTTGCAATTTTAATGGTGTTTGTTAGGAAACTAAAAAAAAAGATAGAATTTCTGAACCATATCGGAACAATAAAGGACTACTGGAGTCCCCAGATAAGCACTCACCAGTGCGTATTCCCATAGTAGCAGCCTTTTGGACTATAAAGTAATGGTAGGAAGCAAAGAAATGCAGTGCAATAGGTTTGAGTGGGTATCATTCAGAAATCTTTCTTTGCTGAAAGCTAGTTACGTGCTTTCTTTGCAGGACTTACTTACTTACTTACTTACTTACTTAAACAGTTGTCATCCAAGAGAGTGTAGAGTAAATACTAATACTAAATAAAGGCATTAAGAGAGGTGTTGCATTCTGTATAGAAAATATTAACTTTGTAGGCTTCCCAAGATTATATCTAAGTCACTGATCAAAAATTAGATAATTAATTGCTGCAAAAATCTATTTAAAGGTGGTTCATCAATATTTTCCCAGAAAAAATATCTTATTTCTTTTTACTGGACTTGGAAAAAAAAAAAAAAAACTCTCCATGGAAATGTTACTAATTATTATTAGAATTCTAAAATTGATCTCCACATCAGTTCAGTTCCTCTGTGACGTTATGTTCCGTACTCGTTACACCAATATAGAAACTGGACTATTTCCCTTTTAGACTGAAATATCAAAAGATACTAATGCAAGCAAGTACTATACTTTTCAAGTTTGACAATATACATACTTTTTTATGACATTAATGGCCTGATTTAACACAATTAATAAAAATGCAATAGTTGCTTGGCAACAGAAATCATCATAAAGAAAGATCAGCGTTTCATTGTGTACACAGGTATCCAGGAGATAACCCCTACCCTCATCTTCATTCATAAGGTTGATACTGGCTCAACATCATACATTGTGATAGAGTTTTCTGGAGAAGTACCATCACTAACAGCCAACATGCTGGTGCAACTCCTGCGCTAGAGCAATGAGAAACACTGTTTTATGAAATGGCTCATATGGGTATAAATATGCTTATGTGCTTGACCGGTAATGGCATGGTCTTTGTCGGTATACCACTGTGGGAGAGAAAAATACAGAGAATGTTAGCCCTCACCAAATGCAAATCATTAATGAGACATGCTAGAAATAAAGACACATGAAGCCATTAAAAATTAGGTCAGTGCTAGGCTAACTCAGTATGAAGATAAAGACAGGGTGGTGGTAGCGAGCTGCTGTTATCTGTCACTGCTTTGTGTGTGGGTTACACCATCTATTCATGCACTAAACATACATAATATGAAATGTATACACGGCTTGTCCACATGGAGGTTAGACACAGCTCCTCATTTCAGAGCACAAGCCAGTCGCAACACCCCACAAGTCTGGCTGAAGGACAATCATGACCTGGCACATTTGGCTTCCTTCTGTACTTTTTTTTTCAGCATTGCTCCCCAAGAGCTGGGAGAGCATAGGAAAAAAAATGCTAGCGCCTTAGACTGGCATCTTTCATGTACAATGTAAGAAAGGGCAAATAACTTGGCTGTCAGTTTTGGTGTTTCTCTGCTAGAACTTGTAAGACCAAGTAGTTATCTTGGAATAAGGAACTAGACTTAGCTAAAGTTAAACATTTTTCTTATACTTTATTGGCCTGTGGGTATATGTGAAGCATGGCTGTTTGTTTAAAAACACAGAAAAATTAACAAAATGAAAGATAAGGTAAATAGGGTCAAATACAAGAAAAAGCTGCTTTAAAATTTTTTCTTGTACAGAAGATATATGGGGCATTATATTAAAAGTTTCAGTTACTGAACATGAAATGCAAACATGTGAACTTCGGTTTAAGATGGCAATTAATTAATTTATACTCAACAGGGCAGTTCTTGCTACTATGGTCATATCACAAGTCCATTTCTGTGCAAATAAAAAAACAAAACAGAGTCATACCATTGCCTGAAAATCCACCTCAGCATCAACAAGAGCTTTGGAAATCTGTGCTGCTTGCTGAAAGTGAACATTATCTGAAAAATAGAAGAAAAAAGGAAAAAGGTAAACAAAAAATTGCTTCTGTACTACTCTGGGGAAAAAAAAGCAAAACAATGAACACAGAAGACTCCCCAGCACTGCTGACTGAAACCACAAATTAGTTGTAGAAAGCAGTATTATTTTATTGATGTAAATGTAACAGCCTTGCCCCTTCATGCTTTTGTTTTGTCAGTAGTAGAATTGTGAACTTGTCTGTAATACTAAAATGTCTAATTAACTGCAGCTCACCATCTGCTGTTCCATGAATAAGGAGATACTCAACTTGCTTGAATTTTTCAGCTCTGGCCATTACTGTTGAACTCTGAAATTAAAGAAAGAAAAAAAAAAAGATGCTCTTTCTTTGTTAAAAGGTGATTTGCTACCAAGTGACATTCATTCCTGTTGACAGAGTCTGGGGATCCTTTGGACAAAAGCAGCAACCCCTGCCCCCCCACACCTACCAGCTAGCATGTTCACATCTCCAGCAGCACTGTGCTTGCATGCAAACTGTTCTGCACTGGTCTGGAATTACTACCAAGGGTCATGTCTGTAGAGTAACAAGCAATTCTAGAGGAGAAGAGTTTTGTGAGTGAGCTACACATTTAATGCATTGCTAACATGTTGTTAGCCTGCAGCATACCACTTGCCATGGGTTTCCTCTGCTACACAGCAGACAAGTTAAAAAATGTTGCCATGGCAACAGTGCACCCTATGATAGCAGGGAGTTGCTATTACAGAGACTATATGCATTATTTTCCCCACCTAAATATAACACTACAGTTTACCTGTAGATAAATAACAGACCTAATATTTCATCATTCTCAAGTTAAAATGGCTGAGAAGAGGTTTAAGACAATGCTCGCCTCCAAATACAATGCAGAAATGCCTGGGGAAAAAAAAAAACCCAACCCAACACTAAACCAAATCTATAAATAGAAGCCAAATGGCACATTGGGACTGAAACAATATTGTGAGGAAAAAACCCAGCAACTAAGGTTAAAGAAACTTAAAGCACAGTAACAGTATACTCACTAGAACATAGTAACCACCTGAGCTATAGTGCTGTGAGTAGGTGCTAAAGAATGTGGAAAGTAAAAAATCACAAAGATTTCATTTGGGCAAGGAAAGGGCATATGATCACGCTCTGACATGAGGGTAGGAAGAAGCAAAGGGACACATACAAGACATTGTGGACTTGGTGAGAAATCCAACATAATGGGGAAAAGCATGTTGAATGAAAATTTCTTTCATGTTAGCAGTATTACAGGGCTCCTCTGCTGAAGATTCCTGAATTCCTGTGGAAGTTTGCTCTACAGCAAATAAAAGACAGTATGGAAAGGAAAAAAAGTAATATGGAATGAGGATGAGGAATCCAATGAGGAATATAGATTTTTTTCCCCTTGCTACTGAGGCTGTATCCTTGCATATGGATCTTTTATGTAGTCCTTCCTGCAAAAAAACCAACACACCACAAAAGTGTTCAAATTTCCTTAGGTCTCTTGTACACTCATCCAAAGCATCTTTAAAGCACATATAAAACTCTTTTGTCGTGGCAGAATAGTGTATTGCAACCCTCTCATAAGTGAAATTAGCTCTTTTTGATTATTCACCCCAATTTTAAAGACCTGTTCAGTCAGGGGTGGGAGGGAATAAAGCTCCAATCTCTAAAACTATAATTGCTCTCTGTTGATAATGAAAGGCTGTGGATCAACAGGAATCCCATGTAATGCATGGAAATCAGTGCACACTGGAAACATGCCGTTGTGTCCATTGAAATGAGTTGGTATCATAGTGTAAGAACAGCTATCTTAAGAGAGTGCCAAAAACTGCAGAGAGGACTTTGATTCAGTGAGGAGCACTGGTGCAGCAGTCAACCTCGAGAATGAAACACAAAGTAATGGCCTAGTGATTTCAAAAACAAAAACAAAACAAAAAAACCCCACAACAATGAAGCAACATCTTTTGGTTGAAACATTTTCTACATATGCACATTGAAACTTGATAAAGCTCCTTCATAAACTTCCTCCCACCAAATCAGTGCTGGCTGAAGGGAGAGCAAACCTTGAGTGCGTGGGAGCCTGATTTGACTAATGAATTTGACTTTCCAGAACCAGTTTTAAGAAAGGAATATCACTGTTTCTCTTCCAAGCATTTGATAAAACTATTTCTAAAATACTTCAAAAAGAAGGAACACACAAAAGAGATCCTGGAAAACAATTCTTTCTCAGTGTTTTATCACGTGAAATGGTTTCTGATGGTCATTCGGGGCTGTGCTCTACCTATACTCGACATGAACAGTCCCTTCCCTGAAGCGTGCTCTATGGATACAACTTTTTTGCCAAAAAAGGTTGCAAAATGGGGAGCAACCTCAAGTTAGACACCATTACAGCTCAAAGCAACAGCTAAATAGGCTGAACAAACCCCAAGTGGACAGCAAATAAATTCAACTTAATTTATTCCTTCCTTTCTGTAGTTACACCGCAGCGACACAAGCTCTGAAAAAGGTACTACATATAAGTACTCAGAATTAGGCCCTGCTGAGTGTAACTGGCTTTTCTAAAGATCACACAGCAGTCAACATTTTATCAGCACTCAACAAACAAGTTAAGGTTTGGCTGAAACTGAAGGTCTCTCTCCCTTTAGCATATTCTCAGATAATAGAACAAATGTCAAATCAGTGCAAGATGGCATATTTACAAAATTGTACCCTGTTTTGCATAACCTAATGATGCAGCAGTTCTTAAGGACTGAACATTTCAAATCTGCTAGCGAAAGATTGCCAAATCTATGACTGTTTCAAACACTTGCCAAAAGCATATCAAATTCAGAGTGAACTGCAAAATAATCTTCTCGCAAGTTGAACAGTCTCTTTGGTGTGCTTTACATGGCTACTGCATCTGACCTCTAAAGCTCTGGCCTGTTTTAGTCTCAACTCCTATTCATCAGGGATAGTCCTTCTGGGCAGACAGCTTCTCTGCGCTTCAGCCTAGGAGCTGTACTGATGTTTTCACAATGACACTGGGAGCGCCCCCTGTGCTTCCTCCCTTCTTTTACACAGCTCTAATTTTTAATACTTCAGAGCTACCTTAAAAGGTACCAATCACACTTACTTAGCCTACCTGGAGGTTTGTGAGTCATCCCTCAGACTCTTCTCCTGACAAAGAAAAATTATATCCCAGATTTCTGCTCTACCAGTAAATGTGAAACCTAATGTCATATAATACTGTAGACAAAAGCACACCCCTCGTAGCAGGGCTTGTTTCTTGATGGTGTATATTCACAGTCATTGGTAATAATCTGTGCATTAGCAAGGCACCTAAGCAGCTTACATCTGCTCTAAGCAGCTGTGTGCAAAGTCCCGTTGTTTTAAATTAGGGCACACATTGCAGAGTTTATGCAACCTTCATGCTTTCAAGCCAGCTTTATACCGGATACAGCAGGAGAGAAAAATACATGATGCAGCATGCAAACCTGACGGTACAAAGGTAACAGTTCAAAAGTGCTTTAACTGCTTCAGCTAGGAGAGCCTTTTAATCTGTGCTTTGCATTAGCTTGCCAAATAACAACAGCATTCAGTTCAGAAAACAGCCCTCATCAGCAGTAAGGGGCCGAGGCAGGGTACTGTGACTGGAGCCTTGACGAAAAGGGGCGTAAGGCAGGAGAGCGCTGCGCTAGGATCAGGAAGGAGCTTCAGCAACAACAAAATCCTACAAGGTTTTCTTCGACTTCCACACGAAAAGCAACAAAGCCGCTTCTTAAGCCACCCACCACACCAGTTTCTGTGAAAAAGCAAATTCCAGGTAACTCATCCCTTGGGGCATGTGAGAACAAACGAGGACTTAAGTAATACTTTCCTACCTCTAGAAAAAGCCGTGAAGCTTGACAATCTCATCCGTACAACTCCCCCTCCTCCATCTTGCCACCATTCTCCCCAATTAGTCCTCTGAGTAACACATTTAAAACCTTTAGCTCTTTGGTACTGGCAGTTTCAGCGTGGCCATTGCCAGCAGTGGATACTATGCCAAGAAAATCCGACTCCTGGCTTGGAAGGATTAAACAGTCCTCTGTTGCCATCTGTGCTGTGAAGCTGGTGAATGACTTTGTGCACCCAGAGCGTTAACGTTCATTCTGCACGAGGACGACAGTGACTTCTATTTACACTGCTACCTCGCAGACCTCCTACTGCTCCCACTGCCTTAAAGAAACATACTTGACAAAAGGCAGGCGCAGGCGCTGGTCAGTCCCCAGCGGGCCTGAGCAGTGCACTGATGCGAGGAGCCAGGCACAGAACCAAGTCTTCCAGCAGTCACGACCGTTCTGCTCAGTTTTGACCAGGACTTCTGATATAGCAGCTGACAGAGCTAGGTTACTGCAGTAATATGTCAAACCAGACTTTTCAGTCCATATATACATATTTTTTTAAACCACATTTTAACCAACACAACAACGCCCTCCTCTTCCCCCCCCCACCCCGACACTGATGTTTTAATGCACTGAGATACAATTCAACCTGAGCTACCTACTAACCTATTCACCAACCCAAATAATTACACACAGAGAATGACCCATCTCTTTTCCTCTCTCTAATGGACATCCTGATAGTCTCCTTTCACTCTGTATTGCCTGACACGTTAGGAACCTGCCCCTGGAGAAGAGAAGGGCAGCATGTCTGTATCTCCCATCTGAGGTACGCAAGGACAGGTTTGGTCCAGTGTCACCATGGCTAAGTGTCTCTGCGAAACATCCCAACAACCAGGGCACAAAGTATCCTTCAGATTGCTTATAGCTCTCCAATATCCACTCTATTTCCACCTTGATCTGAAGTTTAGCAAAAAACAAACAAACAAAAAAATGACAGAAAGCACGGGCAGCTCTGCCCCAATTCCCAACTACTTGCAACTTCAAGCAGCCCTTCAGGCAACAAAAAACAGCCAGTACACAGGACAGCAATACTACTCCTCTGTCAAAAAATCCACCATACCATAACCAGGACAAACAAGCTATAGGTATTCTGCTCCCATTACAAAAAAAAAAAAAAAAAAAAGAAATTTCCTCACTGCTGGACAAACATTAATTTTTTCAGGCCAGAGTTCGGAAATCCCGTGTTGACAGAGTGAGGCCAAAATTCCAAGCCTGACGCTGTTGGCTCTCAACTGGTCTGCGGCTTGTTTGAGCTGATCACAGTACTGACAGGCTTGCCTACCCTTCAAAGTTTCCTAATACTCTGGAGATTGTACTTCCCCGGAGTAAAGCTTGCAGCTTCATAAATCAAGAAAGTTCACATCATATCCATGTTCTGTAATTACATTTCAGTAAGAACTGGAGTACATTTGTTTTGGTGGAAATACTGTTTAAGACAAAGCATAGTTTGCCCACTAGCATATTAAAACAAACTTGTTTCTTGGTGATTAAAATAAAACAGTTTTTACAGCTTATTTTACAGTCTGCAAAGTAGCCAAATGGAACTGAATGTAAAAAAAACAAAAACAAAAAACCCCACAAACCGCACAGCGAGAAGTAACTGCTTCATTCAAAATCCAAAAGCATGAGAGTATAGTCTCTAAAAATGCAGTGCAGCAAACAGGAATGAAGAAACAAAGTTATGTATTTCTTCCTATGGGGAAGGAATAGGTAGGACGTATAAAGAACAGGAGAGTCATCCCAAAAATAAACAACACACTTTAAAAATGAAAATAAGTGATTTCTTTCTTACATTATAGTTTTTCAGATTATCACTTTCTATAGGAAGGCCCATGTATCGCTCCGTGTATATTGAATCTGTAGTAAAAAATGAACAGAATGTAATACTTAATTTTCACTGAAATTTCACTGAATTTTCAAACCTGAAACTTCACACATTGTGATACAAACAATTGGAATGTATTACCATACTGGAAATTAAAAATATATATATATATTTAAACAGATGACAGTTTTCCCACAATGAAGCTTGTAGGTAACCATCATTATTCAGAATATTTAATCTTGTTGTTGCCATGGACACCTGAATGCTGAATATTAATAAAGTACTTTGTGTCAATGTCATCTTATTGTTATTCTTTCAGTAATCTCGTGAAAATTGCTGAAAATCTTGCAGTAAATGACTAGCATTTTTAAACTATCAGAAATTTTATCTAAGTGTTTGCTACTGAAAACCTAACAAAGGAAATATAAGCAGTGAATTAGGACTCAGCTAGGCACTATGTTATTTATTGTCAAAATTCAGCATCTCCAATTTTCCACAGATTTTTCAGCATGATGTATTATTGCTTTTGCAGCTTTGCTGTCTTATTATATGCCGTATGAACCAATGCTCTGTCATCATGTCATAACGTCCATTTGACTACCTATCAGCAGTCACACACTGTTCTTTAATGTTGAATGTGTATGCCCTTATTTCCTTTATCTAATCAATTAAAAGAGGAATTTTAGATATTGATCTTCATTATAAAAGATTCCCTGCCATACTGCAATATTCACATCCAAAAAATTATGAAAACATCTCTATATCCTCAGCTGACTACTACTAACACCTGGCAGCATGACTTGATCTGTTGAATTAGCCAGAGCACATAATATCCTGTTATATAGCCTCTCTGCTAGATGCACAATGATAAATTAAGCCTTATTTAATAGAAGTTTGCCAGGAAAGGCTTTCCTTTGACTGTTTTCAGACAAATCCAAACTAGAAAAGTTAAAATCATAACATTATATTATATTTTTATATATAATTTTTTAAGCTGGGAAGAGGTCCCCTATAACTGCATTTGTAGTGTCACGCAACTACAACCTTACACACTATTATAAGGTTGAAGCATGTGTAGACTTGTCCGTTTGTCCAGAAGTTAGTTTTTATCACATTGATCACATCCTATGATTAAATTTATAAAATCCAAATGTTAAACTCTAGAAGGAAAAAAAACACCTAACCAGAAGGAATTCAAATCCCATTCTGTCATTTTGAGAGAGTAGTTTATAGTTCAGGTTTGATGATAAGTCTCGCAGTTCATTTTTATAAGCAAAGTAGCATTTGAGGAAGCAAAGTCTAATAGTAAAGGATTTCTGCATTCAGCACCTCAGAACACATGGCAGCTCTGGAATGCAAATACAGACATTTACATTACAGTAATACTACAAATAGTACAATAATTTCACATTCATTAAAGGTTAAAGAGATTTTCTGTAACTTTGCATCTGACTTTTTAAAATGAGAAATAAGATTTAGGGAATTGGTTGAGTTCTGAAATGTAATATCCATGAGTTCATCAAAACAGACCAAATGGCATTTACATGGTATCTAGTAGATAATCAAAGTTCTACGCTATGAATCAACACTTTGCAGCATGTGACTGCAAGACATATGGGAATCCTTGCAACGAGGAAGCCATCACATACCATAATATTGCCAACGTGACACAGGGGCAACCGCTATTCCACACTTGAACACTCCGCTTCCAGAGCCAAGCACCATGGAGGTCACATATCCCCCATAAGACTGAAAAGAAAACAGTGCTGTTATTTTAGTCGGAAAGAAAAGGATGGGGCCCATCTGCTAAACTGTTCATCAGACGTTTACGGGCTCAGCATTTTTCGTATTAATGAACTCCATTCTGAATTTGGGTCAGATCTCACCCCGCCCGCTCAGTGGGGGAAATCGGCATCAGAACACGTATGACAGCTGTGGCTCTGATGAATGAGAACTCGCTGTGGAAAAGGGGTGCAAACACCGCCGAACCGTGACTCGGCTCAGTACGACAGCGTGTGGTGGCACCGCAGGCAGCAGCGAAAGACAGGAGGCAAGCCCCTGTCGACCCACTGTGTCCCCTCTCCGTGCCTGGCGGGGGCAACCAAAGCTCGGGCCCATAACACGCTGGATGACGAGCTGCACCGGGGCATCAGAAAATTTACAACTGCCTCGGAGCAGGCCCACCGCAGTTCACTTGCCACCTCTCCTCCAGAGCGGCAAGAGCGAGACTGTGACTGGGGAGCGAGGCATCTTCTGCGGAGTCTGTGGGAGGAACTGTGCAACGATACACTGCCTGCTGCGCACAGAAAATGCAGTCCCAGGCTCTCGCCTGACAGACAGATGATTAAATACCTGACATACTTGAGCATTCAGGCTGTGAGATACCTAAACAATGTCATCGACTGCCCACATGACTGCCCGTCTCAACAGTTTAAAAGGGTTATTTTGGGAAGTCTGGGAAATTTAAAAAGATGAGCAATTTTTGGATGTCATTCTCATCTTGAAATTAGACTAGAGCAAATGGAGCTCGGTCCTAGGTCAAAGCTCTCAAGTGTTTGCTTCACCTTCCATATTTAAGTCCACCTGATGGGATCAGCAAGGTAATGTATGTAGTTACTGATTAAACCCATGTATAAATACTTTGCCTAATCTGGTCTTAGTAAAGATTACTGACAAAGCTACCACAAACAAAATTAAGGTGCTTAGTGAGAGGCTGACAACCTGAGAACTCAAAAAATAAATTCCTTTTGACCACAGGTTTAGTATACTAGTGAACACGTAGTGAACTAGCGACACTAGTGAACACATACTTGAATTTTTTCTTTTATTGGATCATGTTGTACACGGGAACCTGGCAGTATCCCTTTAAATTGTTTTTAATCCCTCTGGTAGAGCTGTTTTCTGTTTCAAAAGCCCCTGAATGCTTGCAGAAGAGCAATGTCTCTGTGCATACAGGCATTTGCATCACGTCCTTCATCAATTCAGTTATGGGACTGTGCCATGAGCCCAGAGGTTTGTTACCCCAAACGTTCAGGCACATCAAGGACAGAGGAGGCAGTGCAACTAGTTGTTACAATTAAATAATAAGTAGCCAAACTACTTTGAGTACTTACCCAACCCCAAATAGCTATTCTGTCCTTATCAACAAAGCTCATTTCAGAAAATTTTCTAAAAGCAAACAGAATAATTAAATGCTTAATGGATTGCAGATATCTGCAATTACACACGTGCTCCTGTTTTCCATCATGTAGGCCTCTTTCTGTTGTCTAAATAAGCATGTTCCACTTCAGCAGTGACTGCTTATGACAAAATGCAATGTCTTTAAAACAATTCAGAAAAATATGTGTGAATATGAAAAACAAAACCCGAAGGAGTTCTGCCGAAGCCCTCTATCCACATACCTGGCATTTGTATCATTTGAAGGATATAGGTTAGAGAACAGGAACTCAATTTTGTGACGGTAAGGGACAGACTGACACCTGTAAATCCAGTCCAGGTTTAAAAAAAGATTCTGAAACACCACCAAGATATAAACGCTGCGTAGTTCAGCAAATATAAGTAACTTGTCGTCACAGCAGAACCTCGCAGAAAGTCTGGAGTAAAACTTTCAGCTACAAGCGCTTTGGTAGCATGTCCTTTTGCCCATGTGCCAAAGCTATCGTCTCCGTAGAAATACGGCTACGGTAAATTTGTTATTAAAGCATTAATTCTTTTCTCTTTTTAAGCATAAAATAATTCTTGGCAAATAAATGACACTCTTCAGCATGTAAAATGAATGTAGATTTTAGTTACGTTTTTGCCAATAATTTTAAGACGACCATTCAAAACCTTCACCTTTGTTGACCATTTCACTGCACCTCACCTGGCTGCTGCTATCTGATCTTCCACTTCATATGTTCCTAGTCTTCGGTTTATTGCATGCATAATTTCATCCCCTTGGTAGCCACTTCCTCTGCCATCGAAGCTAGCCACAATGATCTGTTCTGTGCTTGCAAGATAAGTAGCCCAGTTGATCCGGAAGGCGTAATCTACTTTCTGACTACAGGGTCCTGCATACCTAGGTGAAAAGTCCCATAAGATTCAAGCATTTACTCTCTACATGTTCGCTCATCAAGGTTTTGAAGTACAGTTACCGCTGACAATTTTTGGCAAATACAGAAGGGCAAACTTTTAAATGAAACTAAGCTGACAAAAAAGGCATTGCTAACTTACTCCAAACTGCAGCTTACCTGCGTATTAAAAGCAATATGCTTTTGGAAATGCAACTTTTAATTAATAAAGTAGATTGGATTTTATTTGGGAAAGTTACTGCTTTCTGCTGTAATAAGAAGCTATTATTCTTTTGAATGGCTTATCAAAAATCCAGACCAAATTCCCTTTTTTTGTTGTGTTAGCAAGTTTAGTCATTTGAGTTTCAATGTTCAATAAAAGGCTTACCAGAGTAAGAAACGAAAGAGTGGCTCCTATGGCTTTTCAATCCATTTTCCCCAGTTTTGTAAGAGGAGAAAAACTACTAGGAATAATCAATATCTACCTTTGTTTCTATACACTGTGGTTCCCGATACTGCTGAGGGAATTTCCTGATATCAACATCACTGTGAAGCAAAGGTGATGCTGACAAAAGCCCAGGTAAGTCAATAAAATAGAATCAAAAACAAAAGAGGTGTTAATAAGCAAAAAATATAGACTACTCATTAAAAGGCTCAGCAGGCGTATCAAAAACTATTACAGTGCCACCAAGTTACATTATATTAAGATGTACCTAACAATAACACTCGGAGGGAAAAACCAGTAACAGCAAATAGCTATTCTCCTTAGGGATTCAGCTTTTGGGGGGAAAAAAAAAAGTTAACAATTTCTATTTTAATGAAGAGATAATTTCAGTAATTTCCAGTTAAAGGGAAGCATATCAGCACGCACAGAAGTACTTGAGCAAGAACAGAGCAAAGAGCACGTGCTCATGGTCTGGTCAATATGTCTGTCTTATGCATCTTAGCTTGTTTCTCGGAATAGCAAAAAACGTTTACCAACAAAAAATATGTACTTTTCCAATAAAGATTAATTCAAAAGGGAAAAAAAATTGATGGTTTTCAGTAAGAAGAGGACAAAACGCATCAACTTTTCTACTATTTCAGTAGCGTGCACTGTAGATCTGAGGTAACAGCCATCCCAGTCTTAAAGAATCTTTATGTTGATTTCAGTAAATGATAGATAAAAATAACAGTATGCATATAATGCATAATAGAACATGGTCATTTGTTCACCTGAAGACCATACAAATAAGTCTCATAGATTCAAGAGTTAGGGCTGCTCAGCCTCCTCCAAGGAGAATCAGGCTTTCAAAAACAACAGCTTTCCCCTCCCCCCAAATAATTTCCTAAAAAAATATCTTTTTCAGCTTTATAGCACAAGGATAAGCAAGCTCAGCTAAAATAAAACTTTGTATTAACTTATTTACTTGCTTTACTTTCTTGACCAGACATGGTAAACCACCTTTAGTCTCATAGCTGCACACTAAGATTGTCATTTATCCAGGAGAAAGAAGGTACATATGACATATTTTGAAGAACGAGGTGATGGGGAGCTGCAGAAGCGAGTTGAGGTGACAGTGATTCCTGAGCTGCTCACTCCCTTTCAGTGCTGCTGCTGCGTAACCAGCTTATAAAGTAAACAAAGCCAAATTAGCTCCACAAGTTTGCACCCTCCAACATCTAGGCAATTACTGATGAGAGCCTCCATGCCAGCACGTTGTCACTCACCTCGCATAGACTGGCACTGAGGCAGCACTGAAGTTGCTTGCAAAGCATACTCAGCCAGAACTACAGGCTCAGCACCCTTCCTCTAGACTGAACACCAGTGCCTACTGGGCAGTCAGCTCTTCCAGGATTTCATTTAATATTTTGAGAGTGTGAGAAAAGACAAAATTACTTGAATAGATGAGGAAGGGCTAATGTCTGATGTTGGAAACAAAAAGGGAAAATACCCCTTTTCTTTGCAGCATAGATAAAAATTTTAGCATGGTTTTCAATTAGGAGAAAGACTTGGGGAAGATCTTAAAACTTGATGGTGATGGCCTTTGAGGTCTTTAATTTATGGGAAAAATGCAGCAAATGAAAGCCTGACCATGGAATACAGTTTACCAATAGCAGGTGACAGTCAGACACCACAGAGAAAACATGACATCACACTTTACTTCAGCTTTCAGTTACGTGGCTTAGTCAAGGTTTCATTCGGGAAAGCAATTTCGTTGACCAGTGACATTGTGATCTCATTGGTCAAAGACATTGCATTCCAGAATTGCAATCTCCTTGCAGTTTCGATTCCCAGGGAACTCTAAATCTGGAAAAGGAGGCAAGATAATGCTCATATCAAGATTTTTACATCAGAGACACTCTATCTGCTTCACTGCCACGAGCAAAATACACTCTTGCTAAGCATTACATCATCTTCTCAGACAGAAATCTATGATAAATTGGGATACACCTTGTTTTTTCATTCTCTCTTAAAATTACTTTAAGCAGTAATGAGAAAGCATGCCAGTTTCATGTTTTCTGATGTTATTAGGAGCATTTGAAATAGATGAAAGTGATTATTAACACAACATTGCCATGTAACTCGAAGACTTACACATCGAGAAGCAGAGGGTACTTCTTTGATGAATCCAAATGGGGAGGCAAAATCATTTGATACCACAGGTCTAAAAGTGAAAAGAGCTTGACTTAGTTCTAGTGAAATACTTCCATATGCATTGCAATTCATACAAAGCATATTTGAGTCACCTCCTAAAACTTAAAAAGTAATTTCATCTGAAAGACCCTAATAAATATTCCTAGTCAATCTAACAAAAACTTTTTCTCTAGTCAAATTTCTCTCCCAGTTCTAAAACTAAACTCCAAATATCATGAAACTACCAGGTAGGCTGTGCATGAGGGTTTGTAATGTGTCCCAGAAACACATCCAATTATTTGTTATTTCTCAGGTAACAGTGATTCCCATTCCATCCATTTTGTTCTGTCTACCAAAGTTGGCTGAGAGTTAGCCAAACGCTTTAAATGCAGACCACAGATAAGTTTTGGAAACCAATTGGCTTGATTGTTCACTCATGAATTTCAAAAGAATGGATGCTGCAAAGGAAGCATAAAACAATGCTGACAGTCCGCACTGAAGTAACGGTTAGAGTGCAAGTTGTACAGGAATTTTTTGAAGTATGAATATGTACCACATTAAAATACAAATGTGATAATCAGCACTGAAAAATTATAATTCTAAACTGAACATATGAAAATACATTTTTTTTTCTTTTTTTTTTTTCTTCCAACATCTATGTAGCGTATAGTTACAGGCATGGACTTCTTCTTTGACAAGTACATACATGAATTTGTAAGCAGACCTGAGACTTGAAGTAGGACCACATAAATGGATCTACTTCTCCTATTGGTGACATTAAAAACAGATTCCCCTTACCCAAAAGCTTTTACCCAGAAGAGATGAAGTAGTAAGAACAAAGAGGAATAAAAAGACGAATACACAACTGATAGCACGAAGAACATCTTTAAACCTCCATCTTGCCTGGAAGATTTCATCTTTAGCCCTAGTAAAAATGTGACTAAAATAAAAGACAGAAAACATAAAGGTAAAGACAGTTACTATATAAATAAGATAAACAGTGGAAGGAGAGTGGCATCAAAAAGAACAGGTAACAGCGGCAGAGGGAACTCAATACAGTTTGTAAAACATAATTTCATTAAGAATATTCTCATGCATTTTATCAAGAGCAAGTCTGTCATGAAGGGAAAGGCTAATAGCAAAGGCTGTAGCAAGAACAGTTCAGAGAGGTATCAGGCCTACTACTGCTGGTCCACCTGATGTTCCTCAACCTAGGAACACTTCAAGGAAGCTTCTGTACCCTGACGTACAGATGTAGATGAGCAGGGTTAGCAAAGCATTAGCAGTTTTACTAATACTTTGTTCTATTTTGCCATTCAGAGGTTTGCATAGCTTTTGAGTTCAAATATACTTTTAAGAATGTGACTATTCAATAGGAATATTTCCATACAGAAAGTCACAGGTGGTCCTGTTGAAGTGTGGCCTAAATGATTTTGCAAAGAAGTTTTTCTATTATATTCTGTGCCCATTTATGGATAACAATTGTTTCGTTCTTCCACTGTCCCTGCCTGCTAACACATGCCGAAAGTGAAGACCTTTTTGATGAGCTTTGTGCCCCTCCTTTTTTTTTCCCTTCCCCAAATAGCTGGCAGTAGGGACCTCTTCTTTTTTACAGGCAATTAACAGAGAACAAAGGAGCCAATTGTTATCATCACAAAAACCTCCATACATCATTCTATGGAAAAAGTTAGAAATCTATTCTTAGATTAGAATGTTTTGGGATTTCAGAAAAAAACTTCTATCTTGCCTCTAAGCGCTGAAGAACTGCAATAATTCCCCCTAAACCATCCAACTTCTCTGTCATGCTTTTCAGCAGAAGACCTCACAGCACTTTGGAAAATGGGGAAAGAAAGGTAAAAGATGCTTTTAAACTTACCATATCCACCTACTCTAATGGAGCCAAATTTTTTTGAAGGCATTTGAATATCTTGCAATGAATTGTCCAGTTCAGTGTTGTTTTCCAAGTATCTGATGACTGAAAAGCAAAGTTGATAAGAGTCGAAGACTAGAAATATTATCTTGGAATACCAGTTTAAAAATTCCCTTTGAGGTGATGGCAACCTACACTGCACTCTAAGTTCACCACAATCTTTGTTTTTCCTCACATATTCAATGTTCATGGTATAGCTTTCCTTTAATAATTTTTAAAGCTGGTTTGCACATTTTCCAACTAAATGCAATTTCACAAAAACTGAACAATTATCCAACAAACAAGACATACATTACTCACTGTTTTCTAGCACAATGTAAAATAACGTTAAATAAAATATGAGTAAGTGTACACTGAGCTACACAGTTTATCTTTCTGGTTAAGTAAAACAAAATATCTGAAATTAAATTTAGCCTTTAAAACTGACATATTTTATCTATTGTACTAAGCAATGAGAACAAAATTAAATTGAATTTATAATGTGAGTTTCTGGCTTGATATAAGTGATATTTTAAGACAATCCCATACCATTATCATCGCTGCTTCTGTGCAACGTAGACATGGGCAGACCAGGACCTGTTAACAGAGCATAAAACCTTCATGGTTATACGCTGTCTCACAACAAGACCCTTGAAGAGTAATTGAAAGTGGGTGAATCAAAAAGCTTCAGAATTGATTTCCATCTGGTCTGCACATACAGATTTTAAGTCAGTAGGACCTGGACTCACAGGACCACATACAATATTCAAACTTTCTTGCAGACAAACTATTTGACTGTGAGGTACTGAAGAATTAAACTTCTGCTCTTTAACAAGGTCTACCAATCAGTTGTGGACCATGGTTTGCAAATCAGTAAGCCTTCTCAGAGTAGTCACAGAGATTCTAGCAATCTTCAACAGAGCATTTTACAATCCAACAGAATGATTCCCTCTCTGCTGTCTGTCTTTCTTTCTTTCTAGCCCACAGTTCAAATAAGACCATGGCATCTTAAAAACAACATTCATTTCAAGTTTAGGAGAAATATCAGAGAATGTTATATTCCCCCCCCCCACGCTGATTAGTTTATCCCTTGCACTATCTAGCACAAACACAGGTCAAAAGCTTCGCATAAGATTACATTCATTAGATTCGCTGAATGACACTACCCATTATAATTTTATTCCCACACATGGAAAACTACTTCTCTTTACCCAGCCTCTTGCTTGCCTTGCTCCCAGGAGAGCCTCCAAATCCTTCTACAGATGACACAGCTTCCCATGTGCAGCATATTCCCTCAAATAGTACATCTACGTGCAATGCTATATATATACAGGAACAGCATAGGAGAAAAACAAGTCTTCCTACATAACTTTACCAATGATTTCCAACCTGCTATGGTTGGAACAGAAACTTCTTTCCATTATCTGTCCCTGAAGTAAGTACATCATCTCCACTTCGTCACAAAACAATTGCAACAAAGGCAGCATAATTTGAAGGATATGCTGTTACTGTTCATTCAGCCTGCTCTGAAGTAGCAGCAGGCTACAGCCATTTTTAGCACGTTGCAAATGGCATCTGATTACAAGAGCAGCTCTTGAAGAGGTTCAGATCTGCATATGAGAGGACTGTTTTGCCACCCCTTTAAGGTCCATTGATGGGTAGGGCTATAATTTTTATCCCTTGCAATTTTTGTCAAGGTGATGGGGGGGGGGTATGTTTTTCTGCTGTCAATGCATACATCCAAAGATACTAACATACATCATTGTTACACAGTGCATATCAGGATCCTGATGAAGTGAAATTCCCCACTCAACTAAACAGCGAGTATTGTTTATGTCAATTAATTTGGGATATACTCACCATAACAATCTAGCTGATAATACTGTGCATCTTTGCTGAAGGACGCAGAATAATATTGGCATCTTTCTTTATTCAGATCACAGCTAACACATTTAGAAGAACTTGGACTGCTTTCCAAGAGTACTCTGCAAAGTGGTCGAGTTTCATTTCAGAGATGAAAGCTGCTTTTTTTTTTTTTTTTAATTGTGCTGAACAAATGCATGCTTTTTTAAAATAAAATGACCAAATGAAATAAGATAAGATTCAGGAGTAGAATCCTTATTGATTTAAATAGCCAAGAAAGTAGAATTTAAACTTTTGAATAATAGAGGTTTTGTTTTGGGAACTGGTTCTTCTCACACTATTTCATTTAATCAACCGAATTCATAGAAAAATATTTCACTTACTTTCACAGCTTATATTCCTAAACTGTTTTTAATTAAATATCCCATATAGGACTCCACATTAGACTTTGAACTTCCTAATCTTACTTTCCAATACTTTATATTTTTTGCTAACAAATATTTTACTCATACTGCATGACAAGCATCTTACTTATAAAGATTTCTTCCTCCTGGCATTCCATTTTCATTGCTGATGTAGTATCTATAAAGGGAAAACATATTGGTTATGTTAAGATATTTACAGTACAGAACACTACTTAAAGGACTATCTTGCATGATTAGATGAGATTTTTAATAAGTTAAATGGTACCCTTGCCCACTACTGCCCTCCTGTCTGCTTAGGCTCTTGTTACAAGTTCTCCTGATAGAAACCTATAGCTTAATTGCAATACTTACAAAAAATTACTGGTTACAGCTGCTATGCTGATTACTTCCCATTTCCCTCCAGTAATAGCTATTGGAGTCTGAAAAAAAAAAGAAAGAAAAAGAAAAGAAAAGAAAAGAAAAGAAAAAAAGAAAGCAAAAAATAAGTAAGGCAAAAAGAAAAACTACAATGCGAAACTCCATGCTGGCCAGCAGAACTCGGAGTCAGCACTGCCTGTCCTAAAACTTAACACTTACCTGTGAGCCATTTATATAATGGATATGCTTGTAACCCACTGCATTGCTGAAGACTTTGTAGTAGGTAGTATTGTCAGGTGCAAAGTAAGGGACAGATGGCTGAAACTTGAACACAAGAGAGATGTCTATTAAAGCAAACAAAAAATCCCAAACCAAAATGGTAAATTTGGGTTTTAATAGAAGAACAGAAGTTTCAGTACTTCAACTAACTCGTCATTAAACATACTGTAAAGTATTCTGCCTGATGATTTAGCAAGTAGAACCTGTAGCCATTACAACAAAAGTAACTACACTTAAAATACTTCATTGCTCCTTAAGCAGCAGATTTTCCTAGTATTAGTATTCTGGTAATGATGCATGTCCTCTCCTACCTCCCTTGCATTTGAAGGCCCCCAGGTATTCCTAGTTTCCCCTCACTTCAGGAAATTGCATGTCCATCTACCTCTAAAGTCACTGTTTTACTCTGTTCCACTCTAACATCAAGGTGTAACCTTTAGCAATGCAAGTTCTGTAAAGATACACTTTCTCTGACTTTCCGTTTTTAAAACATATACTTGTGAAAAAGTTCTTTGAATTCTGAATTATTTTTAGCTTGACAGTGCAAAATTTCCCCCCTTTTTCAATGAAAACAAACTGCTAGCAAATTTTACTAGTAAGTAAAGGTGATTTCAAAATGCCAGGGAGTCCAAACTGGAATATTTCATGAAGGAACTATCCATCTCTCAATTGGGACTAATGGAAATGAACATATTGCTCCTACTGACTGTCTTTTGCAAGTGTTCTCATGGCATAGGGAAAATAGAGGAATGAATTCAATCCAAATGAAGGAAAAGTTATTTCTGTGATACATGTCCAGAACATCTACACACCAATTAGCCAATTCATGCAATGCAACATCTCTGAGATGAGAATCACTTCTGAAATGAAAAAAACACTCTGAGCAGAAGGATAAAGTTCCTCATCTCCAGCAAGCGACGAAGAACTTGAGTCCCTCTAGCCTATGTGCTCCCAATAACCGCTGCTTCTTCTATAGTAATATTTTTGCGTAAAACAGCATGGCAAATATTTTGCTAGCCTCTCTCCTATCACAGTCTTGGTCCTTTCCAAGTGTGACTTTTCTTTAATTCAACTGGAGAGCTCTAACTTAGCTCGTGACCTGGAAGCCTTATGCAGCAACACCGTGGCTGCATTCAAACATTCTTAAATTCACTACTAGTTCCTCTCTATTTAGAGGGAGTGGGAGGGGACTATAGATATACACACATATACATGTTTATATCTATAGTTTATACATGTATACATACAATTGTTTGACATGCACACACACAAGTATCCCTGCTCAGTCAGAAGCCGTTTTGTCCGTAAGTAGATGAGAACAACAGAAAGGGATAAAGACACTACCTCCCCTCTTCAATCCTCATTTCCACTCCCTTTTCAAATCCAAGACTTATACATTGAGATTGCCTTTTTCTTCCAACAGCTCCTAGGATGTGAGTTGTCTCTTTAAAAGAAAGAAAAAACCCAACAACCTAGTTTAATGGCACAGACTCGCATTTTGCCCTCTCATTTTGCACAACTGTTTACAAAGTCTGCAGCTTGATCGTCACATTGTCTAATTGTGAAGCCTTTGCTGCAGAGAAGCAAAATGTGTCAGCGTTAAGGCCTTCCTTTCCATATCAAATTTGACAGCAGGTGGGTTGATCTCTCATCTTCATACTGCGGATGATTTCATCCCTGCTGTTGCCTCCCTCTTTGCATTTCTTTAAACTTTCATTTTTGACTTCAAAAGTGAATTAGTGACTAAAGCATAATCAGCATGTGGAAAATGCGGGAGTGGAAAGTGTACTCTGTGTTCTCATCAAAAACTCTGAAACTCACTTCTCCCTCCAAGTCTGAACTTTTGAATCTCTGCTTCACTTCCCCCAGATCTTCTGTGTAGTTCATTAGGTGCCTACTCTCTACCATGTACAAAAGGACTGAAAGGCAGTTTAGAAAACATCATCCAGGGAGCAACGATTCGTTTGGCAGAAGCGTATGAAAATTTTAACCCGGTCAGTTGTATGCATCTTGTCCCCAGCTGCCTGCAATAGCGATGGGGAAAAATAAATAAAAAAAACAAAAATGGGAGAACTTGGGATGGTTTTTTTGCAATCTGAACTGCTAAAAACGACTTTTGTCTTCTACACACCTCCTCTGATTCAATTCAAAAGTTATAGCATACATTTCTTAATACATTTTATTCCCTGATCACTCTAGCAGTGGCAGAAACATTGGAGAGCAGCCAAATAGTACTGCTGGCAACTCCAACATAAAGGGAATTCTGAATCCAAGCTCCCGCACTCCCCCACCTACTGTTACCAAAGCAATAGGTTCGAATTTAAAAAGGAGTCTGGAAGGAGCTCTCTGCTTTTCAGTGAGCTGAAGACGATGCACAGGTCAAGGGGGACAGTTACATACAGCTCCAACCTGTGCTGCACTGTCAGCCCAACCCGGGGAGTTCAGAACCACCATCCCACAACAGCTTGAAAAGCGTGTGCGAGGAGGGCAGGCAAGCAGTCCCATTTGAGACCATTTCTTATATATGCAAAGCCCAACTCATGAATAGATCATATCTGCACACAGGATCATTACAACAGGCAAGAAGCTCCTAAGAAAGTGACTTAACTATCACTGTGTTATTTAACATGTGGCAGTTTTAGAAACTGAACACTCACTGTGCCAATCCAGCCAGTCCTACTTTCTTCTGTACGTTGTTTTTCCTGAGAAAGAAAAAACAAACAATCCCACAAGAATTATGCTTATTTTGTATCAGTCTGTGTTTGTACAAAGATAAATACAGGGATGTACTAGAGCAGTACCTTCCTAGTCTCCTTTATTAAGCATTGTGACCTTGTCAACCTCATTTTTCTTACCTGTGGACATGTCCAGTCTCCAGTGGCTCCTGCAAAGTCACAGACTGTGAGGACTGAAAAATTCTGAATTCTTCTGAGCCACTGCAGACAGATCCTTTCATCTGTCACCCATGTTACAACACTCAAGTAGTGATCCCTGAAAATAGCAAAATCTGTTAGATATTTAAAATTCTCTCTGCGTTAATGTACTATACAATAGTACTCAGCGATTCACTGAATGAGACTCATTCAGCTTTTTTCATTTCAATTGACGCTTCCAAAGACAAATATTGATGCAAATCTAAATATGCTACTTTTTTTGTAAATTATTTGGCTACTTGGTTACTTTCATTCATACAGTAAAGATTTAGATGGTTTGTGTATACCCGCTTCCAGAAAGACTACAATTAAATACTAACAGCCAGACCACTATCTTCTAATATATGAAATAATAGCTACTCAAGACTATGCCATGAATCTCATACTGTCTGCATCTAGGGGAAATTCTTCCTACTATTTAGTCGAATGGGTCTTGGATTTTGGAGTTGATACTCTTTTCTCTCTATGAAATTGATAGCTTCTAAGCATCTGTTGAGCGATATGCATCTTTGTTCAGTTTAGTATTTATTTCCATTACTTAGAATGGAGGAAGAAACCACACTAAAAGTAAATATTACTATGTGAATATTTTACTTTTATCTTCAGAATGCTAACTAGTTGACATGATGAATCAAACTATCTGAAAAAGAATCTGAAAAAATATCATTTTCATGAATATTCTTGTATATTATTTTTAAAAAGGCACCACATAAAAATTTAGTGGCTTTGTTTACCATTACGATCCGTTAGATGTACTCTTTCCTTATTTTAGATGTCTCCTATCTCCTAGAAGCCTTATGAACTAAAATAAAACAAACCTCTCCTCTACATTTTTAACTGAAATTTGCACATTTGACTTAGTTCCATGTTCATGTTCCCTTTTTCTCCGAATCATGTTCCCTTTTTCTCCGAAGTTCGCTAACGAAAACGCGTGGGAAGTTTTGTGGTGAGGATGAATATCTTCATGATCATAAAATAGTGGGGGGAGAACCGAACAAAACACCACAATTAGTGTAGATGGATTAAAAATACATGCCAACTGGTTACCGACCACTTTCAGGTTTATTTCTAGACTGCAGTTTGGCAATCATGTTCCATAAAGGTCTATTTTTGAATTCATGTTTGACTGGAAAGTTGGTAGGACATTTAATATTGCTGTTGTCACTGGCTTCAAACAGTATAACTTAGATCAATAAAATTTAAAAAGCACGGAAGGAACTTGTTTGGAAAAAAACGAAATAAAGAAACTGCTGGTTTTCATGTACCTATAATAGTGGTATGCCTTGGTTTGTAAAAGGAGAATTAGCCCTACAGTTTTTGCTCCTTCAAAGTGAGAGAACTTAATAATTCTAGAGACTATAGGTATCAGACAGGATGGACAATACCGAAAAAAAAAAAGAGGATCATTCATAGCATAATATGTACTTTAAAGTTAGTATGGAAGCTAGAACGTCCCTTCAGTTTTCAATTGTAGAATCCCTAAAACTAGAAACTGAGTTGCAATTAATTCAAAGTATACATCACAGCAGTTCTGCATTGCTCTTCCTCATTTTCTGCTCAGGAAAGATGTCCTTGCAATCATCTTTTGGAGTTCTCTGCTCTGAAAATTTCATTGCTTTCATCCTCGTGTTAACTGATACTCCTGCATCCATGATGCCAAAAGTGGTGTTTAAATCTTGCATGGGTTTCATGGTGGTCATTTGTGCAAAAAGTTAACAGGTTTCATTTACCATCTTAAGGGGCAACACACTGCCATTCCAGACTTTGGCGTCTTTCATAGACAAATAGTAAAACTTTCCTTCTGACAAAAGTTTTATTTTTTTTGCAGTTCTTAATTGCTAAGGACCATCTTTTTGTTTGCCTCTCAAAAGGAGGCAGCGTAGGGAGAGTTTCCCGGCATTCCCTGTTTTCATGTCACTACCAAAGCCCTCTCGTTCAGAGGACGCACCTGCTCTGGCACAGTGCACACCGTCTCGCCTCTTGCCCACTACCTACCAGAGCTGGCTGTCTGAAGAACCAGAAACATGCTGCTCCCTCTACAAGCACGGTGGGCTGCTGGGCATACTACAGGCTCTGCGTAGTGTTACAAGAAGCAACTATTTGCAGGTACAGTGCCTCCTGGAAGTCCCACCGAGATGGGTGAGGACAGGTATGCCTTCAACTCAGGGCTGTCTTTAAATTTAGTCTTACTCACAGTTTATCTCCAAGGAAGCACAGATAGGCTTTTCCACCATGAAAGTTGATATTTCCCATCATATGGCAGCGTATTTTGAAAATATTCAATATTTTGCACTTCTGGGAGCAAAAGTATACAACAAGAACATTGCCTTTTCCTACTTTCGTAATTTTGCTGTTGTGTAATTGCCTGAGCCTGTAATTGCACAAGCTCTGTGCACCTGGACACGCACAAGACAAGGGAAGTGTTACCTGCACCTTCCTAGAACGCTGCAATTTAACTAAAAACATTATTTGGGCTAACAGTCAGAGAAGGGCAAGGAGGAAGACAAGCAGGTTTAAACCCTCATGTTCCTCATTCAAGACTTGATATATATTTGTATTAATACTGATTTATGTAGTGTTACAGTCATTTAAAAATTGATTAAGTCCATATAAATCCAGCGTGTGTTATCCAGATGAGTACCAGGCTGGAAGGTATATGAAAGTTATTCTCGCCAGGTTACAAAGCAGCATTGTTCTGCTTTCATTAGATGTTAACAAAAGATGAAACATAACTCTAAGATGACAGAAATTCTAACTAGAACTGATGTAAACATAAAATACTTATAATTCAGATGTACTGAAATTCTGGAGAAAGAAAACATGTACAGCAGCTATACAACATCAAGCTATTGCAGTGTTACTGCAGAGGTAGGATAAAAAAACTTGTGGATCCTGGTGACCCTCAATACAGAGATACTACTTATACATTGTTGAGGGCTAAAATAGGATCCCAGCTCTACTCCAATTGTAGCTTTTTGGCCAGCCACGACAAAATACTGTTTTATTCATTATCTAACAGACTGGCTTTGCTTTTTCTGAAAATCATCGGTATAACCTGTATTTTCATATCCATCATCTTTTTGTAATGGGAAATCTCTAAAAATTTCCACAATATTGTTAAAAACATACAAACAAAAAAAAACTCCACTACTAACAAAAACACAGATCCAGTATATCACATTCTGTGGCAGGCATTTTTAATCAAGTTAGTTACTCTTTACAAAATACCATAAATGTATATCATATTGTACACTTCCAGGGGCATTTTGCCAAATATAGTTTTCCATTTACTTTGAGAGATGCTGGTTTCCACCATGTTGCCACAGAATACAAACATTTCAAATATAAATCAGAAGACAACCAAGATACCTTCTCTTAGCAGGAAGTATTACTTTCTGCATCAAAACAAAATTGCAGGGAGCCTACTTCCAGTGAAATCAAATCTTGTCTTACAGTTAAGGATTTTGTTTCATTTCTCCCCCTCCCCAAACGAATTGCAATACATACATTATAATTTGATTATAGCAAAACTTGTTCATATTAAAGTTGTGCTGTGAAATGACTTCACCATAGTTAGACTCCACTGAATGTGATGAGCCAAGAACTTGTCACTTTCTGAATATAACATACATGGAATATGCCATCTATATATAATCACTATAGGAGGATAATCTCTGTGCAGATTTTCTCTGGTAAATCTTGTTGCTACCAGAGCCACATGACCAGCTAAAACAATACACACTGAATATATAGGGTGGTCACACATAAAAGCTCCTCCTCTCTCACAACAGAAACAAGCAAGCATTTAACCAAAATTACTTACCCTGACTTTATTTCTGCCGGTGGAGAAATTTCAGTAGAATTGAAATCAGGGAGTGACTGGATATCCACAATAAAGAATTGCACAGTTGGATTTTTAGCTCCTGCCTAAAAATAAAATGTTTCATTGTCCTTTTGAAGAGAGAACATTCTTGGTGAAAAAAAGCATTTGAAATTATAAACAAAGAAATTACTAGACAGTCAGCTAGAACCAGCTAACTTAAACTGTGTGAAAAGACAGAAAGTTTCTAAATGTGATTCTTAAGACCTACACATGAATTACACTTCTTTTTTATAAAAGCGTTAGCTATGTATTTCTAGGCAAGAAAGACTACATTTAGAAACATATCTCATCTCACATGCCACACAAAATATCTTAAAGTGACTCAAATCCTATGCTAACAGACAGAAAAGTGCTTTTTCATGGAAAATGATATCTTACATTAACTGACTGTACAATAGCTTTCTACACTGCAATCACAGCTGGGACTGCAGTGTGTACCCCGCTGTTTTTAATGTAGTGCTACTAGGTACTAACAGCAACATCACTGTGTCAGTAAGGCCTTCTTCTCTAGAAATAAGAGGTAACTGAATAGGTCCTAACCATTACAGCTAGGTAGCTGTGGCTGACTCATCTCCAGAAGTCAGCCATACACCAAGCAGAAGGGGACTGGTAATAAAAGGTGCTATTCAAATGGATAGTTCATTCTACACCTATTGCACCAACATCCCTGCACAGGTGCCACAGTCAGGGCAGAGCCCCGCTGTCACCAGTGAGCAGAGCTGCTCATTGCGACTGGCCAACGTACCCCTTCGCTGGGGCAGGCGCTGGGGAAAAGGGCAAGGGCGATGTGCCCATGGAGCTCAGGGAGGAAGGCAGGGAGCGACTGAGCACAGCTGTGGCAGGGAAAGCTGAAGGTATCTCAGCACCAAGGGGACAGGAGGGTGGCCTTTGCTCTAGACAAACAGCTATGTCAGAGGAGTGGATCAGTCAGCTGCACAACTGTTTGTCCTGGAGCTAATTAAGAGCTCAGACATCTTCCTCAGCTCGCCAGACCAGCATGGGGAGCACATACATGGCTCAGCAAAACACAGAATAAAAAAACCAAACAATGAACAAAAACAACTTGGAAGAGAGCAATGGGCTTGAGCTGGTTGCAACCTTGGCAGCTGGGGATGCCCCACATCGTGATGGGGAGCATGTTAGAGAGACCACTGGCGAGAATCATGCTTGTACTGCAGTTCAGCTGTGTATTGCAACTGCCGCACTTGGCTAACAGCAATTTGTACCTTCACTGTAATTTAAGTATATTGCTGTTTCATACCGCTAAATCAAAATCCTATATAATGGCAAATAACTTCAGATGAATAAATTTGGTATTGAACATTAAATCCATCATCTGCAGAAAATCTAAAAGAACCTGGTCAGAGCATATTGGGCTCTGACACGCATACCATTTGGTCCAGTGTTAACTTGAGCATGAGAAGCGGGCATAGAAGTCAAACAGGTGGGTGAAAGAGGAGAAGCATGCACTAAAGGCTTCAATCTCACTGCCAAAACTGAAACCACTTTAGGTGTGGCCAATGAAACTCTGTCAGCAGATTCTTCCCCTTCATCCCAATACAGGCCTCCAACAACTAAGAAAAACTAAATTAATTGAAGAAGATTCTATTATTAGTACTGTACACCACCCTAACGCAAAGTACATCTGCCAAATGCTTTGTACCAGGAGGGAACTTCAGTCCCCTAAGAGCTTTTCTCATCTCCACATCTACTTTCCACCTCTCAAAATTTTCTGGAGCAACAACAAAACCTTAAATCATACTTTTTTCACATTCCCCTGGAGATAATAAAAATACTTTAACATTGCCAGATGCTGTTGACTTCAGAAAGAGTAATCACAGCAAGCTGTTGAGGAGAGACAGACAATATTTTCATTAGCAGAAACTGATTAAATGAGACTCTTCTCTTAATGAAACTGCAGAACAACCATGTTTAATAAATAACACAGACCTTGGGATATGGGATTCTAATGGTCTTTGGATACTGCAAGGTATCTTCAGAATAAAAGGAATACTCAATAACAGGAACTTCTGTATCATTAAATGACGCATATGCCAGAAAATTGCCACTTGGAGACCACCACAGAGCAGAATGAGTGCCAAACATTTCCTCTGAAAAAGATGTAAATGTGTTTAAGTCATAATTGATAAACTGGCTCTTATATCTGAAGTACTATTCTAATTAGTTTTTAATGGGAATTTTTTTTTTATTGAAATTCAAATACCAAAGCAGATACTGCTTGTTGGGGTGCTGAAATCAATTCTTACAGCCTATCCTATGAAGCTAATTCACACATTATGATTTCCATTGAACCACTGTAAGTTAGGCTAACCATTTCCATTCTTAGATTCTCGGACTACTCAGGTATAAAACTAGGGCAAAATACAGGCTTCTGTTAAAATACAGATTTATATTATTTTGAACTTTTCAATGATAAGAAATGATTTAAAACAGTTATAGTAAAATAGTTGCAATAAAAATGAGTTTTTACATCATCATGCACAATAAAAAATGCTTGATGCAGTTACCTTCATAAACCCAATCTGGTATTCCATTGAAAATTTTATTTTCTTCTCCATTTTTAGTGATTTGCACAGCTTCTGCTGTTGGTGAAGCTTTTATATAGATATTGTTATTCCAAACATACACCTGCAAGACATCATGGTGATTAGAACTGCTGACAGATTAAGTCCCACTTCCTTCCTTTGTCGCACCCAATGGGATATTTACCTCTACTTCAGATGACAAAAACTATCTGTGAAAGTTTAATTTTGCCAGACATCATTGATGCTTAATAAACATGACTTATAAATCAAGTCTAGTAACCTAGCTTCAAGCTGAGATGCAAAGAATAATCAACTGCTACAAATAACATGATTACTGTATTGAGTTTTAAGAACTTTGCTATTATTTCTCTTCTGATATAAGCTTATTTTCCTCCACTAGGAGTTGTTCTTTTGCTCATTTGTCTCCAGTTTTAGTAGTTTTAGGATTTTGCTAAAACATTAATAAGGGTCTTTACTGTCCCAAAAAGATGCAAAGATGGTATATTTATTTTGTAGCACTCAGAACTCCTCTAAGACTTTTTTTTTTTTTTTGGCACCTGCCTTCCTCTCCACCCCACTCCATTTTTTCCCCAACAGTGGAACAACACATTTCTATGCCAGAGCTTCACTCTGAGATGCAGAAAGCTCTTGCCAACATCCCTTGCATCTGTGGTTGGGCTCTTTAATCCTTATACCATAAGCAATAAGAATAAACAAACTCTGCATACTTCTGTGACAGAAAGATCTTTAGGGCAAATCCAACACCCATAATAGGGAATATACAAGCCTAGCAAAGCAGCAGCTGTCACAATTGCCTTGGATCGGGGATGAGGAGAGGAAGAGAAGGACAGTGGGAAAGCATACAAGATAAAAGATTCTGATCCTTTAAAGCCTTTTATATGCACCCATCAAATGAAATTTAATTGTTTGTGGTGTGATTAGAAGATAAAAATCACAATGTTGAGTCAGTAGACAGTCGCAATGCTGCTGCCTTCGAAAGGAATGAGCTACTGTCTGCAACTATAAAAGCACAAAGTTCCTGTGTATTTGTGCATTACATGACTATTCGGGCCGCTAGGACTTAGAGGAATGCCTTTCACTTAAAGAACAAAACAAAATACACAAACACACAGAGAGATTCTAGAGCAATTCCAGCAACAGCAACCACTCAACTTGGAAACTCAGCTCAGCTACTCTAACAGTAAGAAAGTCCAGAAAGTTCATGTCATAGGTACAGGAATAACTTTATATATAAGTTCCTCTTATCTTTACTAACCAGTTTGTGACCAACAGGTGACCAGGAAATATACTGTGTATCATTAGGTAGCAGTCTGTCATCTAAGATGGAACTGGAAAAACAGAAAAAAAAATGCAGCTAAGACAAATCAGTGAAATGCCATTTCTTTGCAAGATACTGTTAAAACTAGATGTTTTAACTGCAAAAGTTACTGACCTTGTATTGAAATCATAGATGTGATACGAAGCTGTATATGAATGCCTCCACAACTGTAAAAGAATTATTTTAATATTAAGAAAATACAGTTTCACCAGGATTTGCATGGCTCTTACAGTTTGAATTACCAATGAAACATCTGAAGCCTTCCTCATGCTTTTGCTCGAGACAGGCAGATCACAATGAACCTATGAGGGTAGCACGTCCCTGCAAGGTTTAAGAAAAGACTAGAGAATCACCTCCTTTGAGGCTGTCATGTAAATACTGTGATGGAGGCTACCGACTGATTAAGGATAGAGTGATATAGAGGCCAGAGACATTGCAGATTTTCAGAAATCCTTCCCTTCGGACCTTGTAGATATATGGTAGACTAATGCAGTTATCTGCAGTTAATACCCCTCCTTCTGCCTTACTGGCACACTTGCTGTTTTCTATCTCATTTTCCATGCTGTATAATAATATATCTAAGCATCCTGTTGTTTAGTAGTTCTTACAAGTCCCAGTAATATTTCTGTAACAGTCCCTCCAATTCCAAGGTGACCTATTCCCCATTCAGATATTGCTACAGAAATAAATCCTCTCAGAAACCCACCTCTTGAAGTCTGAATCACCGTGGGCACTTACACAGAGAAAGATGATGATGAAAATGTACAGACATTTAAAAGAGCGTTCGCTATGTGGGGCTGAAGAGGTTTGATTTAGCCCACGGTGTTGACATCCTACAATAATGCTACCTTTTATGATGGTTCTTGAAGATTTGTATGAAGATATAAAACAATATCTTGGTACTACACAAGCAGATGGCTATTACACAAGAAGTGTCCACATCCTCATGATTCATTTTGTTACTTTGTTTTCTTGCAATAAAGATTAATAACAACATAACTTTCAATCTAACTGTTATATAAGGGTCAAAAGATCTTGTTTCAGCATTAAAATAAAATTAACTCTTATGACTGCAGTAGATAAAGTGGTACAGAACAATAAATCATGAGTAGATGGGTAGTCTAGGGTAGCTGGAAAAATACAAGGCATTTTGCAATCACTAAAGATGCAGTGAAAAGTCAAAAACTTCTGAACAATCCAGAAAGGCAGAAGGTAACTGGCTAATAGCCCCTAGCATAGAAGCTAAAACTGTAAAAAAAGTGGTGACTAACTGCATAGATTGTGGCTGTGACATTGTGATAGGCATTCTTGGGCTGCCAAGCCAGAACATGCAACTCAGTGATGCAGTCCTCTAGTATTTGTATGTGGCACAAGTTATCACTGAGCTCTCTGCAAAGGTAATGGGCAGCTCTCTTTAGAAAGAAAGGAAAAATAATTCAAAAAAAAAAAAATCAGAGTTACTGGTTTCTCAGTGCACACACTGTAAGACAAATTATTGCCTTCATTAGTCTTCCGTAACAGTCCTAAAGTGGCACATAGGACCAGGTTTTTATGCCAATTCACGTAAACATACATTGACCTTTGAAAAAAGCACCAAGTGAGGATGAGGCATTTAGCTCACATACTTGCTGACAGCAGCCTTCTCTTATGAGCGCACGCTGTTTTTCATTCTCCTCAGTTTTAAATTCTTGTGTCCTGACACCACCAGCCTGCTGTCACATCGCTGTCTATTGTCTCAAGCCGTTATACTTACCATTTCTCCTTATCCACATAACTCTTGGGACAGTCATGCGCTTTTACTCTTTTAGCCTATCTGCCCAGATCAGTCATTCCGTCTCACTCTCCTTATGTTATATTCCTAAACCTTTTATCTGGCTTCTTTGCTCAGGCAAAGAATAGTTCTACCACTAAGCTCACAGATCGTGTCAAACTTCCTCTTTATTTTCCAAGCCTAGTGCCTCTGGCCACTCAGTCCCCGTGTCTCTCTCTCCTCCTCCTGTTTGTTCAGACTTCACTGTCCCCTTGCAGACATCCATCTCATTCGTCCATCTTCCTGCATTTCCCTTGCTCTCTCCCAGCCCAGTGCTGATTCCTACTTTCAAGACCATCTTCTTGCTCAGTCATTCATTCACAAACCTCTACTTTGCATTTTCACCTTCAGAGAACTAAAGCACACTTGTACCTTTGTATAGCTGTACTGCAGAAGAGCAAACTTTTGGTCAGGAGACAATAGAACCGTGGTTGCTTTGTATTTGTCCTGTCAATAAAGGCAAAAAAGAACACATTAAGTAGTGATTCCAGAGAAACATGCAGAAGGAAATACTAAATTCAATATCCTTCTGGACATCTTATATAAAAGTCTGAATGCATTATATGTAAGTCAACATACTAATGTTGTATTTGCCAAGACTTCTGAGGATGTTCCACTGTCAGCATCAAAGCGTCGGATGTCACCATCAGCTGTTTTGTGAAGGTACTGATTTCCTAAGGGAGCAAGAGAGATGCCAAAAAACAGTAGAGTAAAATATTTATCAGAAACTTCTCTTTTTCTCCTACGTTTTAAGGCAGAAAACAAAATGCAAAAGACTGGTCAATATACTGTTTACAATTATGTAATGAAAGGATGCATACAGTTCAGGGTCTTAGCCTTCTGGCATCTCATTCCCTTGCCGGACTAGGCACATCCAAAAGGAAGAGAGCCTCATATCCCACTGTTCCCTGAATATCCTGATGCACAGTATGACACACTTCAGATTACATATATCTACAAAAAAGTATAGAAGTAAGCATGCTCTTTTAGCAGCTGGGGGAATATATCTTGCCATGAACACCAGCACATGCCTAAGGCAAAAACTGTAACTCTGAGGTATGCACGGTTCCATAACGGCACCATTAACATTTAACACTTTTCACCTCTAAGCAGTAGTAGTAGTCACCTGTAAGCACTCAAACAAACAGACAAACACTTACTGAAAATAATACTTTTCTTGATATTCATGCTATATGTAGAAATAAATTACCTGAAATCCACTGCAAATTGTATGTTTTGTACTTATAATCACCATTCAAGTAATTCTGTAGAGTATATGTTCTTCGTGAATCAGTGGTACTCTCTGAAAGAAAAAAAAAACAAAAAACACGAGATTCTCATGGTGCTGTAGCTTACACCACCCCAGCTTCTAAACCTTACTACTAAAACAAGTATATTTTTGTTGCTATTCATATTTCGTTCTTATTGATGTGTTGTAGCTAACCAGCTCTAAATTCCTAACAGTGAGGTGACACTAAAACTTTACCACAAGATTAATTCAGCAACCATGAAACACAGGAATACCGGTTACTACACTTAAGCTCATGGTAAAAGGTACAGTAGTGTCTTTCTCCACTGGTATCTTACCTTGAGCTCTGTAAGAGCTGTTATCTTGCCAGTGAGTCAAAACACCTTTCTGATGGCGACAGAATAAACAGAAGACCTTTGCCCCCTGTACTCTCTTGGAGGAGGACATACAGGTACCCTCTTTTCAGAGCCGTGGCCAGGCAAAGTTACCCAAATGAAAGGAATGTGGCATCCATACAAGTAGATGTAAAGTGCCCTTGAAAGATATCCTAAAATTAAAGTGGCTTCTGTACTTTGTCACGTATTATGTAATACTTTCTGTTCATATATCCTCCTAGAATGAATCATCTGCCTATTATTAAACTCAAATTTCATAAATGGCTCAAATGTAAATTTAAGGATTAGTAAAATTTTCAGTGAAGAGTAATATGTTTTTCAAAAGTAAATAAATTATAAAGTATAAGTTTATGATAAAATAGCTAGTTAAATATTTAACCTTCTCTACATGTGTTTTTCGCTAAGGTATCTAAGTGTCTTAATGATTGTTGCAAACATTACTGCCACAATGTTGCTGTTGTTACTATGTTGACTGCAAAATTAAAACCGTGTAACTGGGTTACTATAAAAAGACTAAACGAAACCTTGACCCCAGCTAAGCTAATGAGTTTGGACATCACCTTCACTTGGCCACAACCACCTTCGGTGAAAAATATTTCCTTCTTTTTTACTGGCTATGGTGAGCAAGCCACTGTTTGCAAACTCTGAAAGGTTTAAAGAAAAAAAAACAATTTGAGAATCATTGCCTGTTTTTTCCCTCCATAAACAGAGCCTGCAGTTTTGAAATTTGGGTGTGCAATCCCCATCCCCAGCACATGTTTTTTAAAAATGGAAACATAAAAATTACACTGTTGCAAATCTGCATGGTCAAGAAGGGAAGCAAGGTTTATTTCAGCTAACTAAACCATTCTTTTTTGTTACTACCAGCGTAGATTAAAAGACACGGGATAAAAACATTTGATTACAGATGTGGTAACTGAGCAGTTAGGATAATAAAGAAATGTGCCCCCATCAATTCTAACATTTTCAGAGTCCTTCAGACTCTTTTAAACAAACAGCCTCTTCTTTCTACATGCTGAAGAAGGAAAAGACTGTAGTCGTTCTGGGGGGCAAGGGATGGGGGCAAAAAAGACCACCCCAAGATGATTTGTGTGGGCTAGCTTTCTACAGGTTAAATACATGTGACATCTGGAACGTGACAGCAAGACATTTGTAAGACTAAACCTGTAATAACTAATATTTTCAAACAATAAGCACATAAGATATATACAGCAGAGACCAGACAGCCATCGCTGCAGCAAGAGCCAAGAGCCACAACAAACGCTGGTTTTAGTTTAAGATGCTCAGCAAAGGTTAAAAACAATTGTTTGCTCAATTTCATCTGAAATTTGACTGTTCTAAAAATCACTATTCTAGATTTTTTGCTCATGCAGTTTCTGTGAGAATATTAATTTCTCAGGTTAATTATTCTGTATTAACTGCATATTTAATTTGATGAATTATGAACAAGTGTGTATTTGATATTCATGCACAGTTGGCTAGTTGGGAATATCACTTCTCTCCTCCCTAACTGAGTAAGTGTCACTTTCAATTAGAGGGGCTTCAGAAGGCAACAAAATTCTTTCTTGGAAAAGGAGAAGCAATTTAAGACAGGTGGCTGATGAACAGGTTTAGGGATTTTTCCAAAATGCTGAATGTTTTTACCCCTGCTGACATACATATTTTGCTGAGGTCTCATTACGAAAAATCGGGCCACAACTAAGATTTGTTGGCTGTGTATAAAATTAAAATTTCATTTTCTGTCAACACCTTCCACATAGAAACTGAATATGAAAAAATACGCCAAACTGTAAGGGTATAGTCTTAGAAGTTCTAGTTGGAGTACTTTCTTAATTTGTAAGACAGACTACTAGCAGTGCATTCTTAATTATCCACAGTATTCCCCCGATCTAAGATAGTCTACATACATGAATCGCCCATTGAGGTGGTTCCATTTTAGATTCCATTTGAAACAAAACAGCTGAAAGGTTTAATTTGACTAAATAAAGTAGTTGCTGACATTTAAAACCATTTTATTGAATTTGAAGATCGGATGCAGGACCACGTCAGTTCAGATTTTACCAAAACAGCTTCTTTCACTCTTAGATACCTCAGAGAGACTGTGAAAGCTGAGTTTTCTTGCTGTCTGTCTTTTTTGACTAGTCAATATATGGGCTATCTTTCTAAATTCCAAATGACTAACTCTTCATCTCTACCCTATTCTCCCCTCAAGTAGCATAGGCATATTTACCTCTGACACCATTATATTGGAAATTTACATAATAATACCTCTTTACAACAGCACTGACTTAAATAAGTCTTTCTGGGGAAAACGCTTTTAGTGTTTTGTGTAAGGAGTTCTCCTATGCAGTTGAGGAACAGTTTTGTTTCAGTTTTGGATTTTTTTTTTTCTTAAATGCATATCTCTTGTCTCAAGAGAAATTTGAGTTGGTTTCTGTAGGTGTAAGGAACAAAGGAAATAAAGAATTAACTATTGTGTAAGGTTTCTAGTATGACAGGCTGCCACATCAAAAAACTGCAGTTGTTGACAAATTACTTTTGGTAAACGCATCCTTTATTCTCCAATATCAAGGCACATTTTTATTGCATACAGAAAACAATAAAAAGAGCAAGAAATCAGCTTAAAAGAGATGGATAACTACGTAATGAGTGAAAATGGAAGTTTTATTGCATGTTCAATACTGCCAAGAGAGATTGGAACATCACAACAAGGGAAAGATGAGTGCAAGCATGACACTCAGCAATAGTAAGATAGAAAGGGGAAGAAAAATGATAAAAGTTAGAAAAGGTGGAACAGTATTGCAATTTCTAAATGACAGAGCAGAGCAAATATGAGAATGATCTGAAATCTAAGAAGGTAATTTTGAAGCAGAGCGAGACAT